TTGATATCGTGTTTCACGAGCCTTGGTGTCGTCTTTATCGAGCTCCACGAGTCCAAGATTATCTGTATCAGGTTATATGAGTCCGGGCTCGTCTGTATCATGTTCCATTGGTCCAGGGTTATCTGTATCGGGTCGTGCGACGCCAAGAGTTGTCGGTATCGAGTTGCTCCAGTCCAGGGTCGTAAGTATCGAGGTCGTAATCGTTGCTATGGTTGTACCACTCGTTGCAAGATGGTCTGTGTAGTAGCATACATGCAAAACGATTTCACTAGACTGCAGGTGAAATCTGCAACGAACGAGCTGGAATTTATCTCCAAAATTGTGTTTCATTATTGTTAATTACTTTATTTGAAATTATTGTTGCTTCGTTCGGTTGTTTCTTTGAAAACGAGGAAAAAAAGAAAAACAAATTGGATACTGTTGTTACGTAACGAAGCTGCGGTACGATCGAATCTTATATAATTTGATTATTCTCAACACGTTTTTCAGAGAAGCTTTCCAATTTCTTTACGCAACATTAGATGGACAAAATTGATCGATTGTTTTAATTATACAATCATTCAGCGCGTTTTCTGTTTCTTGTACGATAATCTTATCTTTCTCCTATAAATAGTATTCGTTTACGCGATTCACTGGATAAATATACCAATATTTGTCACAAATAATTTGATTTTTCTTCTATAAACAGTATATATTCACTTAATTCAAAGAAAGGATACACCAATATTATTTACAAATAATTTTCTTGGTCTTTTGTAAATAACCTGTTCACTCAGTTCAAAGGAAAAATATACTAATTTTTCCTTCAATTAATTTTACTTATCACTTACAAATAGTCATCTTCCTTCCATATTCGTAAACTAAATTCTACCCACCCCAGAATAATCAAACTCTTGTAAAAGTCGTGTTAAAGTGTTATTACATCTAAATACTATCTTGTTCGTTTTTGTCGATGTTTTTTTCGTATATTGTATGTCCGTGTGTGCATGATATACAAATTAACATTGACGTGCAGCTCGTCGCGAAATAACCGTGATCTCTTTTTTTCAGGTATCAATGGTAGAAGAGCAAGCTTGTTTTGCGGCCTGCGAAAATACATTAGATCCGGCATTCATCACTCAAGCAATCAGCACAAGGAAGCAAGGTCGAATTTCTATCTTCCCTTCCACTTGACACTGTCGTTTAGGGATTTTCGAGACCGTGCCACCGAGCAACAACACAAAGCGATGTTTCTGGTGGTCACCGCACAACCTGTTCATTCTGCATACAAAGGTAGTACGATTGAAGACCTTTGAGGTGATCTGAGTGACAAAAAGACTCGATGAATCTTCTTCGACAATGATCAATTATCGAGTTTATGTTATCGAGCTTGCGACAGGTGTGAACAAGGAAATCAATTAGCAGTACAAGCATGACACTTTATTTATCGTCAATTCATTCAATTCTGGTATTTCATACAAAGATACAAAAGTAATTGGTTGGTCTTAAACGGTATACTTTTGTGTACATATATGCAATAGTATTTTCATACGAAGAATTAATTTTTTTATAGGAGCTTTAGGATTTTTTGTTAACGAAATATTAGTCTCAGAGCTGCCTTAGTGAAGGTATTGATACGAATATATGAAATATATTTAATAGATTATATTAATTAGATATATTACTTAGTATTTGCGTTTTATCAAAAAAAAAAAGAGGTCCGACCGTTTGGGCAGCATCGCAGTAGTATAGTCGATTGAAGGTCAGACCTCCTGGGCGCTTGAATGTTCTGATTATAATTGATACTCTCGTGTCAAACAGTTCTAACGAATGTCTTCGAAAAATTCAAGACTTAGACACATACCTAATGGTATTGATAGCTGTAAATTATATAAAGTATAATACCTGTTCAAACATGTTCAAAATTCATCTGAAATAAAATAATCTACGCATTCGATAATTAAACTGAACTTGAAACAATTCAGGTTTAAAATCGTCAGCTGTATACGATATTTGATCTGAAAAATGTTAAACGGGACAAAATGTATTAATATTTATAGTCAGTCTTATAAGTACTCGTACCCTTGTGTCGTAGCTGCCTTTCGAGAAAGTTTGTTTAAATTAAATAATTAGTTAAAGCGTGCTTATACTGCTAATTGATTTACTTGTTTTCCGATAAAGCAAGCAAACATAATTTTTCTTTATAGAACTAGCAATATTCGTAAGAAATTGCCAGATGATATAGTAAATATGGTATAATGATTAACGATAATCGAGTCGTTTCGTTAGTCTAGTCATCTCGGCGATACTATATGACTCGGTGGTTTCCATGGCAACGTGCCTTAAACAGAAGGTAACCTTTTTTTATAAATTTAGAAATACTCATTGAAAAATCGCGACGATGTTTTGATCGTGTTTCTCATCCTTGTCGTTTTCTCATTCATTTCTTTTCTTATCATTACGGCCAGCTTTTTGTTTTCGTTCAGTTTTGGAGACCACTGTTTCGATTATTTATTTAAGTAGAAATATAATAGAAAACATAACAATGCTTTCATCATTTTTTACGCATCGATGACAGTTCATCATGCTTTGCTTGCTTGGGCATGTAGACATTTTTCATCGTTAACATTGCTCATTCGGTGTCTTCGTGAAACGAAACAGGGAGATAACAATTAAAGAGTCGTGTTCGGAATTCTGTCAACGGTGAAGATTATTAATAACAGTTCTATTGGATATTATTCAATCACACGTTTATTAACAAAGTACTTATAAATCTGTATCACATCAAAATTACAATGTAAACTAAATTCAAATTCATAAAGTTAGTTATATGAATAAATAGGATGATATTTTTCACGTAGATTTTTATAAAAGTTGAAAATATTAATGCAAATCTAAATTTAAGAATTTTCGAAAAACACGTTTTTGAATAAATGTATAAATTGTCTAAATGTATAAATATCTAAATCATTAGACAATTTATTCCTTTAGTCAGTGAATAATTTCATGAATAAATAGGATGATATTTTCCACGCAGATTTGTATAAAAATTGAGAATATTAATGCAAACCTAAACTTAAGAATTTTTTAAGAATACATATCCTAATATGAATCAGCAATAGCCATTAGGCAATTAGCAACTAGCAAAGACCATTAGACAATTTATTCATTAACAACTTCAGTATCATTTTCTTTATACATAGACATCTTCGAAGATTCCTAATTCCACATGTGCATTGTAAATTATGATTTGCTCGCTTATAAAATATTATTACGTACTATTTCCTGTAACCAACTTTATGAATTTAAAGTAAATATTTCCACGAGTTCTGAAGGTGACTCAAAGTCGAAAACTGCGATACAGCGATAACTAGTCCTTGCTTCAAGGCTGATTAACCAATTTCATAAATTTCAATTAAACATTTGCACGAATTCCGAAGACGACTGAAAGTTTAAAGTCGAAAGCGATAACTAGTCCTCGTTTCGAGGCCCAACATCGATTTCTTTTTATTTCTCCCACCACGCCTACTAAGTTTCTGCGTCGACGTTATTATTTGTGTGTAACACCGAACCCCAAGGCTTCTACGCGAATCAAGCTGCCGCTGTTAACGTCTACCGCTACAGACTAATAAATTTCATTCACAAAGGAATCGCCTGGCATAAGAGAGAAAATGACCCCGACCTTGTTATTTATCCTTATCCGCAGCGCCAGAAGAAACAATAATATCTTCGATATTCACGACCCGCCACACCGCCACGTGCCACCTGTCTCATGTCGATCCCGACGTAGTCCAATACTTCGGCTATCTACCCCAAGATATGGTCGGTCGTTCGCTGTTCGACTTCTACCATCCCGAGGATCTGCCATTCATCAAAGACATCTATGAGACTGTGAGCATGCGCACCAGAAAAAGAAACAAAACAAAACAAAAAACACATTAGGTTTCGATCGAGTATACGCTTGAGAAAATAAATGATAGAGCAAAAATAAAAAAAAAAATGAAAGAAAGTAATCCCCAGAAAAAGTGCAAGCAAGCGAGTCCTGAAAACCGAACGTCGAATCACGTAACGAATCGTTTGCCCCCGCGATTACTCACATTTTGTACATTGTACCGTTGAACAGGTGATCAGGCTCGAAGGTGCCTCCTTCAGGTCGAAACCGTACAGGTTCGGGGTGCAGAACGGTGGCTACGTCGTCCTCGAAACCGAGTGGTCGTCCTTTATCAATCCATGGACGAAAAAACTAGAGTTTGTCGTAGGTCAACACAGGGTACTCAAGGGACCTACGAGCCCGGACATCTTCCGTGTGCCGCGCGCCACGGAGTTCGGTCAGCTGTCCAACATTAGCGAGGAGGTTCTCAAAGAGGCCAAGATCATACAAGGAGAGATACACACACTTCTTGACGAGGTACGTCTTCGACGATCCACCCTGACCACCGCGTTATTTTAGCTTTAGTTTGTCTAGGTAGCGTATGTCGTGGATTAGGAATTGTTTCGAAGGTAAAGCGTAGTACGAGCATGCGATCGAGTTGACATGCTGCCTTATACATAGTTAAATTCCACGAGATTATCGTAGGCAGTGGTTGAACTGTATAAGGTGAAGCGTTTGAGAAGGGCTGCATGAATAACTCGCGTTCTTTTCGGGGATAAATTTACAGTGGGTGTAGAATGTATTCGTACACCGATCAATTTCCCAAAATACTTTGTGGAATTGTAGTTTCTTAACTTCTTTAGATGTAGTCCAAACAACATTTACTAGTTAATATAATTTGTGAAATTAACAAAATAATGCGAAAAGTAGGTAAAAGTATAGGAGTAACAAGTATTTGTACGATTCTTATGGCGAACCATTTAGAGTAGAGTTTGTAACGTAAACACATTAGTTTATTGCTCCGTACGAATTAGAAAACATCAAATTTCAAGTAAAGACTTTTAAAAATGGCTCTATGTGAGAGGAATGGAAAAAGATCCCACTTCGAATAACTAATAATTTAGTTGATTTAACGCTTAGAAGAGTCATGGAAGTATTATGTACTTATAAATAAATGTAAATTTCTTTTTTTTTTTTAATCAAGTTTTAAAAATTAAACAGTTGTGCCATTGTTTTTTTCTTGCTAATTTCGCAATTTAAATAAATAGTTATTTTTTTTGTACTCTATCTATTCCAGAGATTTCCGAGAATATATAGGATGTCATTGTTTATAAAAAATAAGTTAATAAATTACAATTTTACATAGTTTTTTTTGGAAATTGATCGGTATACGAATACTTTCTACACCCACTGTAAATGATCGAAAGGAATGCTCTTGGCAGCTGTAAATTGTATTTTGAAGAAGAACGAGTTCTTAGTTTATGATTAACACTTTATCTACCGGGCTATTTAGAAGTTTTTCGTGAATTTTTTTAGGATGGAAAAAAATAATTAATTCTGTTGAACTTTTTATCCTATTTTCATACATATTTGAGTAGTCTATATAAATTTGTTCAGCAAGAGATATTCAAATTGAGTCGACTGTGACGCTCATTTGTAGAGCACCTCGTGTGAACTAAGAAAATTCATATAAAAAAAAATTTTAAACAATTTTTTTATCAAGTTAAAGTGATTTTTTTCACCCAAAGAATTCGTTCTTTTCTTCAAACTTGCAGTAATTTCACACTCTACCATTTCTGCGTTTCTTTTTAGTTCACATAGAAGAAAAATGTATGAAACTGAAAATTTATTTTGGTTATTTTGTGTCAAACTCTACAAATGTGCGTCACAGTCGACTCAATTTGAATATTTCTTGTTGAAAAAATTTATACAGACTACTCCAATATGTATGAAAATAGGAGAAAAACTTCGACAGAATTAATTATTTTTTTCCATCCTAAAAAAATTCACGAAAAACCCATTTTTTAGACCTCCTGATTCAGGACACATGTGAACAGGGGGTTGACTGAATAACCGAAAGAAATAATTCTGAAGCTATCAAATAAGGTGCCGAGTAAAATGAATCAGGATAGCGTGGATGAATTTGTTAGGTTTTGAGCTTTGCAAGTATTAATAAAGAAATGTTAGGGGAGGAAAATATGGAACGGGTCACTACAGACTTTCACGCCGTATTGTTGTATCAAAACAATTATTGTTGTATCTAATTGTCAGACACGTACCCGCTCAATTCCAAACTTTTTCTCTTCTGTTCTATCGTACGTCTGCTCAGAACATCCAAAGAAAGTCAGATATAACCGAGCACGACGTCTCAAAGAGGTGCAAGGACCTCGCGTCCTTCATGGAAAATCTGCTGCAAGAGACGAGGGCGTCCGGTCTTGGCAAAGATGTGCTCGCTACCGACGAAAGGAGTTTTTCGGTGACTATTAAGCTACGTTTTAGTATCGCCGACACTTATCTATTTTGCTAGTAGTACGCTATGACGCTCTGTTGGTGGTATGCTGCAAAGTATATATACTTACAGTACCAATGTACTTGTGCATAGAAAGCCACGTTCCACTTACGACGTCACAACGTGGAAGGTATCGATATTTACTGTTAGATCTTGTAAACGTATCGTTCGTGTGGCTCCATGGAAGAATTGGGCAGCTGATTCTATTTGTGATTATTCGTGTAACAATTCCACGCAATTGGCAGGCTAATCAGTAGACTGCGAATCTTTATGCAAAATCAAATCTTGGCGAACGCGCCTACAAATATTAGACCTAAATAGGAATTTATTTTATTCTGCAAATATTATAACACGAACTTTACTTTCAATCTTTTTCATATTCTTGCATATCGTTTGCATTTTGCACGTTCTTGGACATTCAAATTTCTTATAAATCCATAAAGATCCGCAGTCTACTAATCAGTAATATTATGCAATCATAAATCAGTACGTAATTCGAAATTCTTCACAGTTAACTGTTTATAACTATTCATTGATCATTCATCATGATTTAATATCGTAATTATTAATTACATTTTGTCCAATACTGGTCCATGGCGGCACGAATCGTACGATATTATGGTATAGATTCTTTTCCTGCAAGTTGAAACTCGATCCCCCCGGAAGTCTACAGGCATAAATTTCGTGTAAAAAAGTTAAATGAATTTGTCTTCTATTCTTTTGAATTGAAAGAAAATTCTGAATCAAGTCTTATTAAATTGAATAATTTCAAAAATTGTTCTCTATTCATCTCTGTAAGTTTTATATTTATTTTCTATTAATCATTTTTATATTAAGAAAGTATATAATCGTACAAATCAAATAAGAACTTCGATGATAGTAATTTTTATTTTACACTAAAGGATTCACCGAAAGGTTTCCTATATACATGTATCGATATAGCGATCACAGCGATCGAGTTTCAACTTTGTTCGCAAAGTTTCTTTTTTTTTTCTTTGCTGATCCGTTCAGGAAAGCATGAAGTAAGTAGAGTACGAACGATTAGGTAGAGGGCTGGGAAAAATTCTATGCTGACGCATCTTTTCGCGAAGCAGCCAGAATTTGGTTTCGAAAAACGAAGCAGAAATTAAAAGCCTTTTAGAAATGTTCGATCTCGAGACACACAATTACGATCATTGCTTTCGTTCAGAGATGGGCGACATTTCATTCGAATAATAAATGGCGAATAAAGTCGACATGTTATGATTTATTCACGACGCGAATTCAGTTAAACAGTCGCATTTTATTTTTCTTCGAATTATTCATTCCAGTCTGTGATTAAAATTTTTATTTTTATTCAAAGAGTGACAGATAGTGACTTACTGTTGTTAAATTTTTATTTATTATTGTGAAAGTCTCTCAGACATATTTCAACGATAGTTTAGCTCTTATTCGTTATTTATAACCTGTGGATTTTTATGCATTTATTTATAAATCAACGAGAATATGCTCAAATGCAAAACTATTAAAAATATCAACGGTACGTGTTATATCGTATAAAAGAATACGACACGTATACGTTCATTTAATTTGCATAAACATCCGCGGTCTGTTTATTTGAAAGTATCCAAATAAACAATTTCGTCCACCTCTGTTTTTGTTCGAATCGAAACGAATGTGATTCCAGCTGCTTCCGAAAGATACGTCGTACAATTTGTTTAGATCTTTTGCAAGAGTAAAGGTGGAAGGTGAGTAAGGTACACAGCAATTGATTAAACATTTTACAGCATGGTGTCACGCCTAACAGGACGGTTGTGTTGAAAGTAACTCGAAAGCGACTTGTGGCTAGTTAGGGTATTCACGCACACCGGCCACCGTGATTTGTAACGTGGCTGGTCGTAAGTAAGAATGACAGATCACGATTAAAAAAAAAAAAGAAAAAAAAAGCGAACGATCTACCGAATCGTTTTGTACATAGACACGGACGGAGGGCAAAGCGAAAATTGTGTAAGTCCGATGGTGCATCGCGTCAATTTCAAAACCTTGTAATCACGTTGTTGGTAAGTCTATTTACTTTTTTTCCCATTCAATATTACTACTCGTTCAAGGTGCAGAAATAGCGAAGTCTCTTATTTCTTTTTGTTTTTCATTTTTTTTTTCTTTTTTTTTAACAAAAGGAACGAAAAACAAATCTCGATTGCAACAGTTTGGATCATACAGTAGCTAATTGGTTTCGTTTTCCGATTACGGCAAATCTTGCCGAACAATCGTGGTAAACGGACGTGAATATCGAGAAATTTCGTTTCGTTATTCATATTTCGCTTACCTTTAAGTCGCGAACAAAAAATTTGATCGGTTTCGTTTTGAATATTTAAGTTGGATCTGTTTCGGGGAATTTTTCAAACGTGTGCGTAGTTACAAGAGAGACTGACGTCAATGTTTTATAGTTTTATGCATAATTTAACTTGTATATATATTGTATATATTGTATATATTGTATATGTTTAGGAAATGTTTTATATATATATTTGTTTGAATTTAATGTAAAAGAAACGACATTACATATATGTATATATATACTGAAACTAAAAAAAAGAAATGTAGTTTATATAGTAAATGTATGTATAAGAGTAAAACAAAAAAGATATAAACATATAAATCTATATATACATATACATTATGCTGTACGTGTATTTTAATTAATTATTGTAAAAGTAATCATCTACCCTTTGAACTACGCACAGATTTGAAAACCAATTGTTTACAATTCGAAGAATTATTCTTCTTTCCACGATCGAGAATTAAATTCAAAATAATCGAGACACGTTTACTCCAATCTGTCTTATTGTATGGTCCTTGCTCTACCTGATATACTAATTGTCAGTCAGATGAACGGTTACAGACTCGCTAAAAGAGTGTTTCTATGCACTCTGTCTCCTCGTCGTTTCATTATAATCTGTCATCTGAGAAATCGTTTACCAGCGATAACTTTTCCATCCTAGTCCCTGGGACGTATCGTACTCTCCTCCGTAGTGAAGATTCTCTGATTATTTATTTCACGACGTTCATCGTAACAAACAATAGCCTCTAACAACTTCGTCGTGTCATTTTCCTCTTTGTCAGTTCAGGGAATTCTCCGTCAGAAACTCCAATCGGTAAACTTCGTCGCGATATCGTGCGCGTTGGTCGATCGATTGCATCGAGAATCCAAACTTCCCGATTTTTTACCGACTTCGAAAAGGAACAGGTCACTCAATTCGACGTGTATAATTTTTTTTTACGAGAACTGATTAAGGTAAGGAGACTTCTGGTTTGTTGGGATGAAGAATCAAATGTTTTATTTGGAGAAAGTTTATTAAGAACATGGTAACATGTACTTTATTATTATTAGGGGGACCAGAAAGTAATGTCGTTTCTGCAAATGTCAATATTTGTTTATCATTTATCAGGTCAGTGTGTATCAATTGATTTATATCGATCTGAGTTTGAAAATTTGCACACTAGATAGCAAAAGGTTGTTGGTAAAGAGTGCGAACATAATTGATTAAAAATAAAAACTTGTTATGAACTTATTTGTTCGAATTTAATGTAAAAGAAACGACGTTACTTTCTGGTCTTCCTAATATATTATTGTACTTTACCAGTTAAATATCCCCCAAAAGATATTAATTTTAGAATAAATGTACTTCGATACTTTTATTTGTTACAAAAAAAAAAATGTTGATCTTCACGTCACTTACAGTCAGTCCCAAAAGTGTCTATTGAAGAAATTTCTCTAAATGAAATTCATAGATTGTGAAATTTGAATTTAGTGTGACAATTTATATTCAAAACCCTTATTTTTAGAAAAGACTCATAACCCAAGAAACCAGTACTCTACCTTAAGACACGTTAACGTGGAAGGCTACAGGTGTATCTATAAATTATTGCAATGTGATGTTCGCGAGTAAAGTTCCGGTATGTCTCGTCACTTACAAGGTTTTGAAACTAACGAGGCAATACGAGCAAAGGGGAGGGAGGGAGAACATGTTCACTCATAGTGCATTCAATTTTAGCATTTTGAATTTTGTTAATTCCTTCGTAATCTCTAGTAATGCCATGATCTTTTTTTTTTTTTGTTCTATAAAAATCGATCTGTTTCGAGGCAAATCTAATAAAAGTTCGGCAAAAACAATTCTTTGAAAATTAAATTTAATAGCTTAATCACGATTTTTTAAAGATTTTATTTTAGAAAATGTATCGATTATAAATAATTTCAATCTCTACGCAACCTTGCCAAAAGCAATTGTTCGAAAACTACATTAAATAATTCGAATACGACTGTTTTATTCCTGAATTTAATTTAAAGACATTAATTCAAGATAATTTAATAACGAAGGGGGAAAAGTGTGAAGGATCAAGGAGGTTGGGAATGGTTAAAAGGGAAGCCAGGAAGGAAGACGGATTCGGGTAGTAGTATTCTTAACATTTGATGCAACTAACATCAATTCGCAGGGGCTGGAGAAATATTAATCGATCTATCGGTCGCTCGTGTAAATATCGCATTTTCACGCGGTGTCGCGGTTCGAACACACGCGACGGGGATTATCATGCACGGTCCTCTTTTCTTTTCCACTATTTTTTCTTCTCTCTATAATAGTCGAGTAGAGCTGCGCGAACATCTAACAAATAACCGAAACAGCTAGAAGCGAGCCCGCTAAACGCAACCGCAAAACATGCAAAACAACTGACAGTGACAAAAATCGTGTGACGTTTCTTTCTAAGTCGCTACAATATACTTGTGAAGGGATCACGCAATCCCTTGTTACAGGAGCACGACAGCGTGATGCTCGGTGAGATATCGCCCCATCACGAGTACTACGACAGTAAATCGTCCACCGAAACGCCGCCCAGTTACAATCAGCTCAACTACAACGAGAATATCGAAAGGTTCTTTAAGAGCAAACCACCGGTAGCGACCATGTACGGCAGCGACGAGGAGAATATCAATTCCAGCAATGACGAGGGCGGGAAGACCAGCCCGACATCAGCAGGTGAGATTTCCTTGAGGAGGTTTCGCTGTGAGTGTCTTTCGTTATCCCCGTCGTGCACGCTGATTCTGATATGATTAACGAAAGTTGCACTGATAATTCATTTTTATTAAAGTTTTTTTACTAGGAATGTTACCAGAGAATTTTTCAATGTAATTAATCAGAGATCAGAGATTACTCAACCGAACGTTGCGGCGTGTATTTGTGTTATGTCCTTTTTGAAGAACTGTAATATTAATGTATAATTTCAGATATGTTAACAAAATTTAGTTCTACATATACGTTGTCAACAACATGTAAAGCGAATAAATCTCTCCTTTGAGATTTAATAGCTTCAAAAATAAAAAAATAAAAAATCAGAGCTAGAGTTCAACAGGTTGCTCTTCAATAAATTAACCCTGCATGGGTCCGTATAACTTTCAGATCACATGCTAATATATCGACATTTTACCAAATAATTTTAGTTTTTTTCACGAGATGACGTATACGTTTTAATTATTAGGGCGAGCCAAAAGTTTTGATGTCATTAAAATTACTTTATGTGCAAGTATTATATAATCATTTTGCAGCTTTTGAGAAGCTCTTTCATATTTAATTATTAGCTACATTAATTTATTAGCAAAATCATGGAAAATTTTGAGATTCGTGTACTTTTACGTCACTACTACTGAATATGATATTTTCTATGCTGTTTCAGTAGCTTTAAACTTTTGTTTCTACTAGTGACGTAAAAATACTCGAATCTCAATATTTTCCACAATTTTACTAAAACGAAGAAACTACGATCAATAAATTAATGTAGCTAATAATTATATATGAAAGAGCTTTACAAAAGCTACAAAATTATATGTAACACTTGATTATGTTAAAGCAAACATATATAATACAGTTTGAGTCAAAAGTATACAGACAGGTAACATTTCTGTCAGAAACATTCAACAAAAAATGAAACTCTCCATCCAATTGCAACATTCGTAAATTGTTTCCATGGAACGAGCACCACTTCGCCGATTCTAATGCAATGTTTATTCAATCGTTCTCGTGTAGCAGCAAGGAAATGCATGTCGCCCATAAACGGAAGTGGCGCAAGCGGTAGCGGAAGCGCGGAGAATCTAAGCAGTGGCTCCAACAACCAAACCAGCTCAGCAAGCGGAGGAAACACCTCCAACACCACGCGCAACACTACCACCACGGAAAGTTTCAAACCGCCTACTTTGACCGAGTCGTTGCTCAATCGTCACAACGAGGACATGGAGAAGCTGATGATGCAAAAGCACAGGGAACTTCGTTCCAGTATTAAGAACAGCGACAAGCTCAAGGATTCGCGGATAAAAACAACCACTGAAAAAGTCGCGGAACCCAACGCGCATTTCATCAATCAGAATCATGGAGTGAAGAGAAGCGGTAGCCACAGTTGGGATGGAGATAGTTTCAAAGTAAGAAATAGTATAAGAAACTTTTGTGAAATTGTAGTTTATTAATTTCTTTTCTTATAATCAATGATATTCTACATATTCTCGGAAATCTCTAGAATAGATATAGTCCAAAGAACAGTTACTAGTTTATATAATTTGCGAAATTAACAAGAAAATACGAAAAATTTGGTAAAAATGTAGAAGCAATAAATATTCGTACAGTTTTTATAACAGACCGTTTACAGTAGAATTTGTAACATAAACACATCAGTTTATAGCTTCGTACGAATTAAAAACATCAAAATTACAATAAAGAAGTCATAAAAAATGGTTTAATACAAGAGTGGAAGAAGATCCCATCCCGAATAACATCAAATTTAGTTAATTTACCTAATGCCTAGAAGAGTTGCAGCAATTACAAAATCAAAATGAGATCCCACAAAGTATTAATTATTTATAAATTAATGTAAATTTCATGTTTTTTTTTTAATGAAGTTTTGAAAATTTAACATTTGTTTGAATACTTATCGCTTCTATATTTCTATCGATTTAGTATTTTTTCTTGTTAATTTTGCAATTTATATAAATAACTAATTTCTTTTATACTGCATCTATTACAAAGATTTCCAAGAATATATAGAATGTCATTGTTCATAAAAAAGAAGTTAATAGATTACAATTGAACGTAGTTTTTTTTTTTTTAATTGACCAGTGTACGAATACTTACTACGCCCACTGTACAATTTAACCTTTTCGACTCTGCTGATTTCTATTCGAATTCTATTCGTTTTTATTTTAGAAATTAATTGTATTGTATATAATTGTAAGCATGTCTTTATTCGCCAATCATATATATATATATTTAAGTAAACAAATATACACATATTTGTATGTACATAATATAAAAATACATAAAATAAGTATATACTTCTGTGCACATTTGTTTATTTAAAATTCTTTATTGCTCAGTTACGTAACGATACATATAAACAACAAGTTCCATGTACATGTTATTACAAACATATATAACTACCAATTCCTTTATATTTATTTAACTCGTAAAGCTAACACAATAATATATACATTGCATATAAAATCATGAGCCGAGAACTTACTGTACTTGAATTTATATTTCCCACTTGTTCTGTATGTTAAATAAGGCCCTTAAGTAAAAAAATAATAACAATATGTTCGACGGTATTTTTCCAGGTGTCGAAACACGACGAAACGTCAAGGACGAGTACAGCTGGCCAATTTCCTGCAAACGTTGCTACTACGGTTACGAGCATGAGCGTCGATCAATCAACTGTAATTCAGACAGGTGCTAATATTAATTTGTGGCAGCCTCTGTCGGTCACCGTGCCCCCGCCACCGCCTGTTCAACGATGCAGTGCGCCGCAAAAGTGAGTAATTCGATAATCAGCTTGGGAAGAACTTATTTAGCGACATAGCAAACTTGAAAGATTTGTCAAAGATATATTTATAATAAAATTGTATTTGAATTCCAGTGCCCATTCACAAGCAATACCCAGAATACCAATACTACCATCGATGATACCAGTATACTATGTTCCGGCTCCACAAACGAACGATCCTGCAGCTTTATCACCCCAGCAGGAGAAACTTAGCCTGCCTCAATCAATGCAACCTCCACAATTAAATCCTTACAGTATGTATCTAGATATTTGAGAGAATTATTCAAATTTTACGATTGATACATCGATATCAATAAATTACCAATTATTTTCTTACGCTACTCTATCAGCATGAACATATAATCGTCATTTTCTCCCTAAAAAACCACCATACAATTTTTGTTTGACAATACCGTTCAAAAGCTGAGACTTCGAGGAAGTTTTTCCTGAAGAGTGCCCGCCAAACAACTATGTCTTTGAAACCAAAAAATAAATACAGATAAAGTCAAATTTTAAAAAATATTCACAATGTAAAGTTTGACCTAATTTTTCACTTTCTAAATCTTCGTAATAAATTTTAGTATTGCATCAGGGGAGTGGTAAATTTACCGCTCTTTTGAATGGTATACTTAGTTTTAAGTTTGCACTGTAATTTGCTGGAGTTATGGCCGTTAAGTGTCAAGTCGAAAACGCAGAAAAAATATTAAAAGTGAAAATTCTCGAGAATAAGGGGACACAAAGAAAATATCTAAAAGTAATTTTTTGTTGGAAATTTGTTGTAGAATTGACACCCTCCGTATGTCCGAACTTATACTTAGACACCCTGTATACAGTCAGTTCTATAAGGAATTTATGAAATAATAATATTACAATATTTGAAAAGATGCAACCTATCGTTTAATTTAAACAAATTTCTTCAGTAGACGCAGAGGGTACTTATGGGACTTGGACTGTCTATACAGACATGAAAATATATATATATATATTTAATATTCACAGTGACATTCGCGTGTAACACAATTTATATTAAAATAGGTGAAATGAAAAAGATTTTTATTTTGTTTATAAAGAGGATCCACATGTTTCAGTGTTTTTGCCAGTCTCATACGTGACGACAACGATGGCTGGCGTCATTTATCCTCCAGTATTTGGTGCTCCTCCGATGGGGATGATGTACAGACCATTTTCGAATCCCGGTCAGACACCAGTTACGAGAGAGAATAATCTATCTAGTACTATCGACAAGTGTTCCGACCGGAAGCGACCAGCAAGCCAAGCGACGAGTGTCAAAGCTGAACCGGGAAGCACCATGGCGATGTCTGAATCTTCTAAAAAGGTAAAATTATAATTTATTCCCTTATCGATTCTAGGATCAATGTAATTATCCTGTTAATTGTCTTTGCCCGAAATATGTTATTTATTTTACTAATTGCAGTCCCTACAATTCAATCTTACGTATTCTCCATTTTGAGATTATTATATTTCAACGTATCACATTAATTTAATATGTATTATTGCTATTAATGTATAAACATACGTATATTGATAATATTAAAAAATCAGCCATTTCATCCTAGTTGCATGTACACTCATAATTAGGTTCTATCGCCTGGTGAACTGTTCTCTTCATGCGTGAGCAACGACGGAGGATGCTCGAGCTTGGTGGACGCATCCACTCCAATAAATCCAAAAGTCCACAAGCTGAACGATTACAGCGTCGACGACTCGAGTTCGTCGAGCTTTTACAGTAGCTTCCTGTACAAGAGCAGCGACAGCAGCTGCAACCCAGACCAGAAAGCCATGGACTATCTGCCAGAGGTAACTAATGCTCTCAATGAAAAAACCCAACCTGTTTGATTGCAATAAATTTAGAAAAAAAAAATACATATATATAGAAATTTATATTCTATAAATTACAATGTATTACAAAATATTATACGTACGTCACAATACCTCTTGCTAATATTATTACACTTGAGGATAGCAAAGCATAGAAACATTCTTTCAATAAAACAGCCATAAGTAAATCACTATAAACTATAGATGCTCCTAATGTAGGACTCTAGGTGAAAGGAAGAGATCGTTTCAAAAATATAGCTAGTTTAATGATCTGTTCAATGGTCGCCACAATACTGCTTTTTAGGCAGCCACGCTCTATCGGTTACCGTTAAAGACATACGACAGTATGTGTGTGAAATTAGCCCCGCACTTTTCGAATTTTGAGTTTTTCTTTCTTGTGCCGTGTTGTGCTATATTTGTGCTGAATTGTGCCGTAAACCGCAACTTTGTAAGTCAAAGCGTACTCAAAAAAATTGAACAAAACAAAATTTCTGATAGCTCCACACTTTTCGAATTTTAAGTTTTTCTTTTTTTGCGCCCTGTTGTGCCATATTTGTGCTGAATTGTGCCGTATATAAGAGATTGATAACATCAATAACAATTAAGAAAAGAAATAAAACCAAAACTATACCAGTCCCGCACTTTTGCCGAAACAAATTTCTTTTTCCATAAAAAGATTCGTACTAACTTGTGCAACATTGTGCCATTGATAGAAACTCGATATCTCTATTCACTTTGCAGATAAAAAAAGGTTGAATTGTAAGAAATACAAAATTTAATATTCGTACAATTTGTGAACGGCGATAGATAATCGAATTCTGAAAGTTATGCTAAATTGTGTTACTTACAATACACGAGACACGTGCGTTAAAAATTGAGATTAGCTCGAGGGCAAAATAAAAATTAACAAAAAAAGGTGGCGGTGATTAAAAATTGTGGCATTTCCGAATTTTCTTTGATTGTGTCGGATTGTGCTAGACTAGCACAACAACTTTTCCTAATTACAAAATCTGGTCAGATCGCCAGATTTCCTAGCGTTGGCAAAGTTAGAAATCAGACGTTAAGAATTTGCATTCGCATTCGCACGCGCTCGCGGGTAGCGGAGTGCAGTAATGCCTCGATAAATGCACAAGCTCGGGATTACAAGTGTGCATTCATCACGGAGTTCCCACATTGTTTGATATTTGCCGACAACTTTGGCGTATTTCGCTTATTTCTTTTCTCAATTGTTATTGATGTTATCGATCTCTTATTTGCGGCACAATTCAGCACAAATATAGCACAATACGGCACAAGAAAGAAAAGCTCAAAATTCGAAAAGTGCGGGGCTAACTTCACACATTACGACAGTCTGCAACGCAGTGCAGTATCACGTGAAACATACGTAGGGCGGTCGAGGTGGCCTATCACGATTCTATTACACTAATAATTATAAAGTATTTTCCAATTGTTGAATCGAACGTATCAATGAATGTTTAATAGCAGGACAACGCGAGACAGCAACAAGGTAAAAGAAGAAAAGAACCGCCATGGCTCGAGGGTGTCCAACTGACGCCAGAATTGATATACGAATACCAGATACATCCGAAGGCTCTGAACGAAGTGCTCCAAGCCGATATGGACGCCTTAAAAAATTTCAATCAACCTCTCCTGGTGAACGACCAACTAGGACAACTCTATTTAGACTTGGAAGTCGAGGGATTCGAAACGAAGCTCGTTCTCGAGGACGGTATCACGTCCAGCAGCAGCGACAGCGGTAGCAGCAACGAAAGTTGGACTGCAGGAACGATGTCACAGGTAAAACATAGCCTTGAGGTGCTTTGTTAAGCTTGTATAGCATCTGCGCAACTTTGCAGAGATTGTAAAGTATTTTACTTTTCTAAGAAAAAAAGAAAACCACAAACCTACCACCAGAATTTTTATTTTATTTACCTTGACTGTCTATTCGTTGTGTGTTTCATTCAGTGTCCATTGAATTAATTACATGTTGCAAGGAAGTGTTTCAGATTTAGGATCATGATCGATAACGAAAATATTTTTATCATCTTAGAATATATAATTAATGTAAATACTTAAGATTAAATGGAAGGTATCAGGCCAGTCTATAAATTTGGGTACATGTATGTTGTTATTTATGTGCGAATAGTATACCTGTAAAAATTGCCAAATTTTAGTAACAAATCATTTATAGAAAATCTAATTTCTAATGTCGGTCAGCCCAGCTTATTCATTGATTACTTTAATAATAATTTTATGGTACTCTAAGGGTATAATAATAGAATCAAGTCTACAGGAATTATATACATATATATATATGTATAAAATTATACTATAATATAATATAATTCACGTTCCAAATATATAATATAATAGCCATATTAGATTATATTTAATTATATATTCTTCCATTTGTGTTTCTGAAAGAAGAAAGAGTAATAAATAAATACTGATCACATGTAAATGAATGTCAAACTAAAGAATGTGTCTTAAAACAATACTATAGCATACATTATAATGTTAATATCAATAGTATTGTAATAAAAATGTTCACGATTTTATAGACTGACCTGACACAAGAATTTCGATATTATAAATGTTTTTCCAAAAGGGGTTCCAAGATTTTATTTTTCAATAAAAAAATTCACCTATCGGCATAGTCCTGGCGAACATATGTATTTAATAGAAAATCCTAGAGCCTTGTTTGGAAAATCTTTTACTCCTGCATGATTTAAATTTACAAGTAAAAGACAAATAATTTGGTCAATACCGATCGCTGATCTTGTATTAAAGGGGTCAAGGTCTTGTTTACAGCAAAAGCACAGAAGAAGAATGGTGAAGTACGGTAAGCTCGTGATGATTCACGAAGAGAACGCGCCAATGCCGCCTGCGTTACCACCGCAAACCGTGCCCTGCCAGCAGTTCTAGAAACAATTCTGTGACGATCAACCCTGCGACTAAACGTCGTTTTCAAGTTCGAAGCAATCGTATCCAGTGTCGTGCTTTGAATTTGTTGTCGACACTTGGCTCGCCAACTGGACGCTGCACGCGAATTTCGATTTCATCTCGACTATTTTATTATATTATCGCGTATATTTTACGTTTGAATTTCGAGGCAGATAAAATTGTCTGTATCGCGCGTATATATTATCAACGTTTTCTTTTATATACATATATTCTATATAATATTATATATTCGTAGCTGTCGGATATATTTGACCCTTTCTTACTGACGGATATACAGGGTGCCACTTATAAAGTGTTTTCTGAGAAACTACCGAAGACGGGACAATTTTTGGGGGTAACTGTTAGAGGGAAAAAGGTGAGACCCTGAAGTTTAAATAGAAGGTGGTATCAATTTCTTATTATTCAGATACAGTGGGTATAGAATGTATTTGTACACCGATCAATTTCCAAAAAAGCTATGTGAAATTGTAATCCATTAAATTCTTTTTTATAAACAATGACATTCTACATATTCTTGGAAATCTTTGTAATAGATGCAGTAAAAAAAAAATTAGTTATTTATATAGAAGCAATAAGTATTCAAACAAATGTTAAATTTTCAAAACTTCATTAAAAAAAAACATGAAGTCTACATTAATTTATAAATAATTAATACTTCGTGGGATTTCCTTTTAATTTTATAACTACTGCAACTCTTCTAGGCATTAAATTAACTATCATAAATGTCGATGTTATTCGGGGTAGGATCTTCTTTCATTCCTTTATTAGAGTATTTTTTAAGTCCTTTTTACTGGAAATTTAATGTTTTCTAATTCCCACGAAGCAATAAACTGATGTGCTTATGTTACAAATTCTACTGTAAATTGTTCGTCATAAGAACCGTGCGAATACTTATTGCTTCTATATTTCTACCAGTTTTTCGTATTTTTTTGTTAATTTCGCAATTTATATAAACTAGTGATTGTTGTTTGAACTATATTCTAGAGATTTCCGAGAATATGTAAAATATCATCGATTATAAAAAAAGCAGTTAATAAACTACAATTTCACACAAAAGTTTGTTGGGAAATTGATCGATGTACGAATACATTTTACACCCACTGTAGCTTCAATGAAAATTATTTCTCCCAACAGTGATTCCAACAATCCTTCTAACAGTTAATTTTAATTAAAATCCCGAGAAACGAAATTGATATCTTTATAAGTATTTGAGGAAACAGCTAGCAACGCTTTATTTGGGACATCCTGCACATATCTAGTATGTATATACATACTCCCATTTACCAATTATTGCTATTATTGTTATTGTTATATTTTTTATATTTCGAGATAGAGTGTAAGATAATAATTTCGTTAACGACAAATTTAGAGAAACTAGAACATTTAAATATAACGTGCATACATTTTTAACTGCCTCAGACGCGGTTTATTCTCACCAAGACGTGCGAATCAATTCATACGATTTAGATATAAACGCTATTTACACGATAAGGAATCTAAATCATACGTTTAGGATCGGTTCGTCGAGACTAAAGTTCCTACTACTTCATCGAACGTAACTCGTCGGTACGTTATCGTCGCCCGCGATTGTATTTTTACAGACCCGTTATGTCGATGACGATTTGTAGTCGTGATTTTGTCACCGTTTGGATGATGGAGAGAATTTTTCATTGTTACGAAGTTTCTGTTATCGGAAACGTGATTCTCGACAATTGAAGCGAGATACTTTTTAACGATGGATTTTTCGCGAATAACGTTGTCTCGTAGGATCTCGTTGTTTGAAATGCGAGACATCCGTTGGAAAGTTCGACGATTGCAAAATGTTTCAACCCTTTAAGCTACGATTTAAACTCCGATAGCCTGGGACCAAAATGTGATGTTTACATTTGGCCCGAACAATACACAAGGGCCAGGCTCGTGATAATCAGTTTTGGCCCGAATATCCGACCACGAGTCTCACACGTGGTTGTAGCTTAAGGGGTTAATATAGGATTAATAGGAAAAGGATAGTGGGGATTAGAAATTCGAGGCTCTAACGATTCTTCATAATTAATATTATTTCACGTTTCGTTAGAATTGCAGATAGCTTCATCGAGGCCTAATTGCACACTGATATCGATGAAAGTGTATCGTAGCATTTTGCTATCAAAATGTTAAAAAGATCAATCTATTTATAATCATTACTATTATGTTTGTTACATGTACTCTTACCTTTAAGTTGGAAAAAATTGAGCAACGATCAACCAGCCACGTAAAATTTGTTAGATTTTAATCTTAAAATACTTCACACGTTTCGAATTGTAAAGAAAACTGAATGTTAATATCAGTGATCAATGTCAGTGTGTCAATTGCCCTCCAAAGAAGCTAGCTATATTACTTAGCGAAACGTCGGAGTATTTAACATAGAGGACACGATTTGCATCCAAAAGTTTCAAATAATATCAACTATGGTTATAAAACTACATTTTATATAATTTTGTTGACAACAGCCATAGAATTGGGTCGAGTTATTTCGTTTTCCGTTTAATAGACCTTTGTCGAATACTCAATAATTTCCTATTCTTTTTTTGCGATTACCTTGTAATAGGACTTACCTAATTACGTTAGTTATCTGGAGAGAGTTAATGGAATCAAACTCATTTTGGAACGACTGTTTTCATTTTGATCAGAAGCTATTTTGATAGTTATTTCTATTTAATTTTAATTGCAATTTTCTATGTACAGAAAATTCTTTACTACATGAAATTAATAAACTTAGTTAGTGGTTTTGAAGAGAGAAATGTTGAATATAGTATTTCGTTTGTCAAGTAAATTATAGGGGTGATTTGGAGCGAGAAGATAAAATTATTATTTCAAAACGGGACCAAACGATGAGGTATTTTCAGCATACCATATCGGATATGCTACCTCAGAATGCGAATGTTTTGGTAAAATACGTAGAAATGTAAAATGGAGTCCAATAGTCATCGATATATGAGACTGTGCTCGGTTAACCCTTAAACGACATCGTGGAGGCCATTAGAAAGTCCTCGTTACTTGGTTAATTAATTACTTGGCACATTTTGGGTTTACATACAGTCGAAACATTATTAACCAAATTACTTGCAATGTAGACTGAAGTAATCAGCCTCCATTTATTTTTAAACAAGCGAGTATATTAATAATTACTGTTTTAAATAGTCGTTTAAGGATTAATTACACTGAGAGTTTTATATAACAGTGAGACTGTGACGTTCTGCAAAAGACGTGGCAACTTTCTTTTATCCTATACCAAGGCTGCGCACTATGTCTATCTCAGAGCATGGCGAGCATGCGAACTAGTGGCGCCACGTGTTGTGTTTTTAAATTAATATTTTAACAATTTCGAGTCTATTCTTTCAATCAGATATCAGATCGAGGACTTGGAAGATTGATATTTTAATATAACAAAATAACAAGTCTACTTAATTTCTACTTAAACTAGAGTTATAAATGATTGAATGTAAAAGCACAGAATTAATTTCTACACGTAATATATGCATACACACTATTCAAACATACGTCATTCGAAACCAAAACGGTAATGTAAGATACAGGACACGTTCGCGCTCTTATGGTTGTCTCTCTGTGGCGCCAGTAGTTCTCATGCTCGCCATGCCCTGAAATAATCATGGTAAGAGCCTTGTTTTACGGTAATCCTAATCTCTTTAGATATATATATCAAACGGATTGTTCCGTTTGTTCACACTTGAACGATAGCTCTCATGATTTCGCATTCGTTGCAAACACAGAACTGAAAAAGTTACTCGCGCGTTCCCTGAACTGTGGGAAACAACGCCCTAGAAACTTCATTCTAGCATTTGTACGATCATCGAAAAATATTTTATATACCATCTGTTTGTACACATAATATATATTACCATTATTGATTGATACGTCTGTCGTTGTATCGTGTAATTGGAGATGTGGAAGAGATATTTTGTATACCAGTGATCTGCGTATAATTGTTTGAAATTAACGACTTGGCCAGGCTTTTAACTCATTAATGCATTGTTGTCCATAAAACCAGAACGGTTAAAAAATTATAAATATAAGTAATATAATGTTTTTACCTAGAGTAACGAATTTAACTTCATGCGCTAATGGGTTAAGAGGACGTGGCGTTGATTTTATAGGTGCAAAATAAACGAACTGTTTAAGCTTTCATCCTAAAAAATCTAGTCCAGATTGTATAAAGTAATTGCGTCGTTGACGTTGGAAATTTCATGCAAGAAGAATGTCACCTTGAGGAGGAATGTATAGTTATAAAAAGAAACTCTGTCTGTATTCGATTGAACAGTTATTCAGATAATTTTTCTTCTAAATTATCGGCTACAATCATAGTAATCAGTAGTATGGTTATCAAACTACTGATTGTGTATTACAATGTTTTAAATAGATTTAGTTGTTTGAAAAAATGTCAAAAGCTGTACTGTAACACCAATAGTGGTGTTATTCGTTTACTGTGAAGCATGAATTGTTTAATTCAGATTTCTTATTGTCCAAATAATTAATCAACAACAGTTATTTACAGGAATTTTTTCTGAATTATCTTCAGTTCAAGGAAACATCCTTTGTTTACACATGAAATTCTTAGAGGTGGCTATATCTCGAAGAAAGAAGCAGGGGTATCGGTACTGTATTAATTAATTTTCTCGTTTTTTTTAAAATACAATTCAAATTCAAATACTTTGGTATCCCCTAAATGGATTACCGACTGCTTAATTTTTCGTTAATATTCATAGAAATAATTACTAGTAATTATCAAAGGAAGATAAGTTATTCTTTTGCTCAGGATAGGGAATACTAAAAGACAAAATTATTGTTTATAGTTTGAGCAACGCAGAAAGAACATTCCAAAGCTTTGCAAAGTTGAAATAAAATAATTTTCCTCGTTGCTCGAATTATCACCCATAATTTCGTCTTTTATTATTAACAATATATATTATTTGTCTAGTGACATTTTTAGCGATAATTCATACAGCATATTTAGTAACTATTATTATCGTTAAAGTAGCGACAGTTATATTGAAATTAATAACAAAAATTGCGTTGCGTCGGCACAAAATATTTGCGATTTTCCACACAAGTAATCATCTCGAGTATCTGTACGCGTAAATAAATAAATTACACATGTTTACGTTTAAATGTGTATTTATTTATTTATTTCATTTCGAATGCGCGTTAATATTTGGATTTACAATTTAGAACGTCGATCTACGATTTATGAATATATAAAAAGATAATATTTCGTGCCAGGAGCGTTTATTCTGTAAGTACAAAAAAAAATAATATTTTTTTACATATACTCTTTGCGCGCGTACTTTAATCACGTTTATACTTTTTCCTAGTTTTAAGATAGTGGTCTTTTCATACGTTTTGTTAACGTTTCAAGTGCCAGAATCTTGAGGAAAGAAAAAATTAACTATAGTTACGAGTAACGAAGATAATAAGATAGCTTTAAGTCTACTTGTTAATCATCTACTTGTACTTCGTCCTTTCCGTTTCCACTTGCAGTATTGTAAGAATTTTAGCGTAACTCCTAATTGATACTTCATATTTATTTACTGATGATATTTACAGATGACATTTCAACGGTAATAGGTACATTTAAATGACATTTACGTCTAGTTTTGTTACTTAATCGAACAATTAACGCGTTAGCAACGTAAGCTAATAACGAACGATTGTTGAAAATTCACGAATTGATATTTCTGTTCTCGATCTTTACGATAAACGAACATAAAGTTAATAATTACTTTGATAGTTACATAATTCATATATTCTTTACTCACTATTATCACACAGCAGTGTGCATTATGTTTTTCTATGCTCGTAGTCATCGATTGGAAATCCTTTTTGTTTAAGGTAGTTGATTTTAACAAAACTTCACTTGATTGTGCCGTGATTAAATATGTACCATTGTGAATCTATTTAGATTTAAATTGACCACAACAATTTTATGAAAAATGATATCGAAATTTTATTATCCTAGCATAGGCCTCGTGAAACGTACGCGTGAAATTTTTCAATTTTAAATGAAAATGCAATGGAGGAACTTGGTAAAAAATTGTCACAATCATTCCTCGAACCAATTGGTGATTTTTAACTAACTGCTTCGACTATCTTCTATTTTAAATTCGATAAGCCATACTTTCGAACGTTACTATCTCGAACCGACTACCTTAAGCTGTTTGTTAAGCTTAAAAAACGAAACGTCGTTAAATAAAGAGTATATGAACGGTCCTTACTACGAACAAAATTATCAATTCAATTTTCAATCGAACGATTGGTTTAAATCGTGTAACGAGCACTTTTCTTTTAGCAAAATTAATCATACCGATCCGAAATACCATCATCACGAGACACACGTTGCGCTTGACACGTAATTGATAAAAACCTGTTACACGCAACACGTTTATAATTAGATTATACATTACGATTCATGGAAACGAACGATACTCGTGCAGTTTGTCGTCTTCCTCATCCACAAAGCATCAGAACACCCTCGTGTTCTGATCACATTCCTGCCTAATTTTTTATACGTGAAAGTGAATAAACATTGACATGATTAATCCGTGCAAACATATTCTCCGGACGATTTGTATATTAATATCGAAATCTTTGTGTAATCCGATGCTCAACTCTATAAATAAATAGAAACTGCACGAGTCACGCGATTCGCGAATGCTTCTGCAGTCAGTAAAAGTGATCTTAAAATATTTGTTACACGACAAGCTTGTATTGTAAAGGCGTAATAATAGTAATAGCAATATATTAAACATTACAGTGACCGTAGAGTGAATATTTTTCTAGCATTCCTTTCAGGCACGTGTGATGATACAGTCCGCGACTCTTGGTTGAACGCGATCATTATTTTCTCTTATACTGTGCTCTATTTCACCACAAATTAATTAATTCTAGTTTTGTAAAATGATAGATCCTATTCAACGTAAAGATACGAAGTTGAGTATTCAGTCATTCGGTAGAAAAATATTAATCGTTGGCTTGGGTCATTTGAATAAACCCATGCTAAATAAAACATAAAGAAGTAATTTATGCATAAGGAAAATGCTTCATTAATACTTTGGTGACGATTTATACAAGAAGAATATAGTTTTTTTTTTTTGGAATGAGTAAAATAATATAGCAAGAATTTGAACGCGTTTAATCAAGTCTCGCGGACTGTGTGTATTTCCAAATGAACATTTCCTTCTCTTTTAAACGTTTCATCGTTGTATTTACAACTTCAGATTATTTATAATTTTAGTACACCATTTTCTTTTCTGCGAATAAAATATATCTCATGGTTAACCATCAGCTTGTCGACTCGTTAACGCAGAGGAAATACAATATACATTTACAGGTACAATTCTCGCACCACCCGACAAAAAGCTGTGCGCCTTTGTTCTTTACTTTTCGTTTTTCCTTTGCGCACAAGGAACAATGGAAGCGAAGGAAAAACACGTTGGGAAAGTTTCATCGTTCTCGCATTGAATGTTACACATTTTTCCAGTGAAAGTACAACGTCTCTAAAAAGAAAGCTAGTATATTATTAGGATAATACTGCACATATATGTATACACATTTTTTTTGTCTTTGTACATCTTCGTCAACGTTGAAATACACGTATGAAATATACTAGATCTATGGGTAAATGTAAAAAATAGAAAAAAACAAGCAAACACGTATATCGTCTTCTTTTTATTCCTGTTTATATTCGGTACCGAACAATTCTTCGTCGCTAGAATTTGGATGATTAATAACCTAATCACTTTAGACTAAAATGTACAGGATACTATTACAATATTTTACCAAACTGATTTTTTCCATATTCTTTTGTTATATTTTTCTTATAGCCAAGGCATTTTTATTATTCTTGCATTATAAGTTTTATTATAGTCAATAGTTAGAATGGCTTGAAGTTTTTAAAGTTATTGTTGGTACGAAGATTAATGTATCCGTATTCCTAGTTACTCATTTATTCCTATTTATTAATGCTGGAAGGTTTTAATTTAAATTGTTAGGCAGTAAGTTCCTTATCTCTATATTCAACCTCTCGACGGATATTGACACTTACGTATACGTTTGCTTTTATATCAAAATTACCATTACTTACGAACACAATACCTTTTAGAGTGAAAGAAATGTACAACATTAAAGTGAGCCAACATATACATTCGTCAAAATTGATTTACGGGTAAAAATTGCATTGGCTTGTGTACACGCGACTAAAGCAAAACAAGAGTCCATTTATTTGTTCCTCAAGTGGGTGATAACGCCTATTTTTAAGAAATCTATGAAAAATTAATTTCTACGACCGAATAAATGTATACGCGGAAAGTCAGCTCGACAAAAATACCACCGTAATCGAATCTAAAGTGATTAGACTACATGTAATCATGAGCTCGGTCTTGTTCGTCAGCGTTCCACTTGTTCGAGCTCTGCACGAGTCATTTCGTACCTTACATTTCATGATTGGCCTAACTTATGTTATATTCCGGGCACGGCTAATTTAATATTTCAGCTTGTCAACCAAACACTTTCGTCGCTTACGGTTTGTCGACCTCTGATTCGATCAACATCAATAACCGTCGGTCAAGGTCAGACCAATGATACGCTCTCGGTCGTGCCCTCCCCCCTGGTTCTTCGTACCTCAAGACCAACGTCTAAGCTTCCAGGCTGTAAGTGAGAAAAGCAACACTTTCAGATAAAAATTTCTTTTTTAAGCAACAACGATTTAACTAACAAGAGAAAATGTATTTTTCAGATCAGAAATCGAATCGAATCAAATCGAAGTATTAAGTATTGCCTACCTCAACTGGTTCAACTTCTTTATTGGACGTTTTCAAGAATTTTCGTATGATCGGGGCCAGCAGCATCGGATCCAGCTTTTCAACATTTTCTGACGAGATAAGACTGACAGCAAGGCCAACGCTCATCGTCACCAAGGCACCTGTCACGGTGTACCAAAGGTAACTGAGACGATACAACGCTAAAGGTTCTCTGAAAAATTTGTTAAAGATATATATATTTATATTATTAGGATAATACTGCACATATATGTATACACATATATATCGAGGCACTCCTCTTTTCAGAAATTGGTTTTCCAGTGGAATACTTCGGAAAGCTTACGGGAGAAAATCGTCGTCCTCCAAAATCGAATCTGGAGGATCGAACAGCAACAGATTCTCTACTTGAGGAAAGGAGTAATAGCACCCCTCCGTCGTGACGGGTTTCTCGTCGAACCTATTGGAAAGTATTTATTACTTATTACTAAAAAATACAATATTACGATAGAAATTAGACGTATTGTTACTCCATGCATATCTTCGTTGAAACCAGAGCCAACATATTGTACTTCAATTCCCTTCAATGGAATTAAACAATAAGGAAAATGATCGATAATATATGTATGTAAAGGGTTTTCCAAAGGGACCTTTAGGATTTTTATTTTTTTAAATCTGACTTCAATCTTTCAATTGTAATCATGTTGTACTTTTATTAAAAATTAAAAGCTTGTGTTTTATTAATTGTCTCCATTTCTTGATAGGTGTTATTATTCAATTCCATTAAATGGGAAACATGTTGATCGAAATCTTTGGATGTAATAAGCACACACCTTTTCGGACTACCAGTACGTCAAATTTCTTCCGAAAAATAAGCACACATGTTAATACAGTGGATGTAGAAAGTATTCGTACATCGATCAATTTCCCAAAAAACTTTTGTGTGAAATTGTAGTTTATTAACTTCTTTTTTATAATCAATGATATTTTACATATTCTCGGAAATCTCTAGAATAGATATAGTCCAAACAACAGTTATTGGTTTATATAATTTGCGAAATTAACAAGAAAATACGAAAAATTGGTAGAAATATGGAAACAATAAATATTCATAATTGTTAGAATATAGTATAAGAGTTGCAGCAATTATAAAATCAAAATGAAATTCCACAAAGTATTAATTATTTATAAATTAATGTAAATTAATGTAAATTTCATGTTTCAAATTTAACATTTGTTCGAATACTTATTGCTTCAATATTTCTATCGATTAATTGTTTTTTTCTTATTAATTTCGCAACTTACATAAGTAGCTATTTTTTTTTTTTTTTGTAATCTATCTATTCTAGAGATTTCCGAGAATATGTAGAATGTCATTGTTTATAAAAAAATAAGTTAATAAATTACAATTTTACATAGTTTTTTTGGAAATTGATCGGTGTACGAATACTTTCTACACCCACTGTAATAAAATTATGATTTCTAATTCTAAGAAATTTTACTTCAATCTCCCACTGGCGATCGCTGTTTCAGCTGAAAGACTGATCCATCCCATGAAGCCCAAACCGGAAAGGCCACCGATGAGAGCACCCTAAATTTAGCATAATGCATGTAAACTTGCGTGATGGATTAACACTAATTATTTATTATATTTCAGCATACATTGGCGTTCACCCATGGCAAGAGGACACCCATGCTGAAAATACCGAGAGAAGGACCACTGGTAATGGACGCCAAGCTCGTTGACAACTGAAACATACTGTATTTCAGATAAAAGCTCTCTTCAATTGTGCATTTGAACCAGAGATGGCTAGAATTTCACTTGGATTTATACGTAACGTGTATTGAACTGAAGGGTAGCTTCGAGTTTATTAGAATGCAAAAGATTTTCGAAAAGGGACTTTAACACTTTCATTTTTAATAATGAAATACGATTGTCAGTAGAATTTATTCATATATGTGATTCATATTAATATAAGTATTTATTAGTACTTATATGAATGGAATATATTATTTATATTAACTCCTACGGATATATAAATAATGATTAATATAACTCCGACATATTCCGCACCGTTTGTGGTGTATTGCCATTTATTTATATTAATACGAATCAGATATGTGTCTTATTAGAATAATGAAATCCTGAAGCACCCTTTTGAACAATCTACTATGTGTACCAATAATTTCACCACCCACAGTATTCAGATAAAAGTTATTCATGCAACTTGAAAATTACTTGAAATTCGTTATTTAAATGAGAATTTTATCCATCTCTGACACGCAAGCAATACCTGCAAAACGTGGGACCCCGTTTTCTCGACAACGAACACGAGTGCCACGCAAATTATCCCTAAAACGACCACCGTGAGTTTCATTAAAGTATCTGCCACTTTAGGAGTAAATGGTGTCTTCCTGAAGGGTTTCACGAAGTCTTCCAGCACCACCGCGGACATGGAGTTTAAACCAGTGGACAGAGAACTAAAGTCGAGGGGAAAGATGAATATCGAGCGTTAATCAGGTATCACAGAAAACACTTTTCAAATGAATAATAATTAGAATTATTCCTTGACGTATACAAGCATCAAATAATTCAATAATAATCAGAATTATTCTTTGAAATCAACTTTTTATACAATATAAAAAGAGATGAAAATAAGAGAGTGATTCTTTGAAATAATTCGCTTTAAGAATTTAGTTAATTAACTTCCCGATTTACAGGGAAGTTATTGTATTTGCCCTTAATTTTCTTTAATTATTTGCATTTTTGGGAAGCTTACCTCAAAGCTGCGCTAAATACGCCAGCGACGAAGAGACCCGGAAGTCCTGGCATGTCTCTTAATATGTTCATGACGAGCAGTGGTAGTAATTGGTCCTTCGCACCTGCTAGCTATATCGACATTGAATTATTTTATTGTCGATTTGACAAATTTCAAATTTAAATTAACGAAAAATAGTTGAAGCGTTAAATACGATATTCTAATTTTACAAATGAAAGAAAGAAACTGCAAGTAATAAAGATAAAGGAATATCGCACAATTGTCAGCTTGTTATTTTTAAGTATTCAATATTAGATATATAGGCGATGCCTATTGAATGTGAAATCTGATACTTCCACTTTGCGATGCGTTGTGAAATTGAACTATCAGTGAAGCTGCGGTTATTACCTTGGTCGTAAGTGGATCACACTCATGATACCAGGCATATATTAACATTCCCGCGTATCCGCATGTTCCCATTAAAATCAAGACTCCGACTATGAAATACCAGAGTGCTCTAGAAACGAACAATTCCATATATCCCGTTATTTATTGTAATATTCGTAAAATTCTATTTTATACGTCAATCTGAAAACTGATTCTCAAACTGAGGTGAACCACTGATTGGATCCACCTAATCCCTGGAGAATGTTTGTATAAATATTAAGTATAGAAATTAATTTTGTGCCTCTGTATTCAATTATTTACAACTCTAGTTTGTAAAATATTTATTTCACTTGTTCATTTGCCATTTAAAAATAAATCCATTTAAAAAGAAATTTTTCTCATTTGCCATCATTTCTTTTCAGATTACAAAATAAAAAACATAATTTCTTAAGATTATTCAATAAAAAAAAAAAAATGATTTTACTATTAAATATTAGATTGTCCCCAAAGCTTCTTCCATGACTTGCACTCAATTATTTTCTGTGGCAGTGTTTATATAAATAGACAACCTAATCTATTAGATGTTAATATTGTATAACAGTAATGGAGCAAAATGAATCGTACGCAATTTAATAATGTAACATTAGACATAAAATATTGTGTACGTATTACTTATTAATGAAATGGAAGAAACTTTTGGGACAACCTAATACTATCAAGAGATATGCTTCAATGAACGATGTATGAAGTTTAAATTAAATAGTTTGAAGCTTTTTATGTCGAATACATTTTTTATAAAGCAAGCGAGAGATGTATTTAAAAAATAATAGTCAATTCTAGAGTAAAGTTTGAGAAACATTGTCAGACAGAAATCTATAGAAAGTCGACGTACCTTCTAGCCGATCCCAACGTGGGCAACGCGAGGTATCGCTGTATCATATTTTGATTGATAGCGGATATTTGCAACCAGTGAACGAAACCACCAATCACTAGAGACCAAATTGTGTGCCTCGTAAGAGGATTCCAATCTGTCCTATTAAATAATCGTACAAATTAAAAACGGTGTCATCAGCTTAGGAAAGGGTCCGATAACAATATATATTTGAAACGTTTAAAATAATATAACAAAAATATTTTCAATAGAGAATCAACATAAAAATTTGAAATTTGTATAAACATCCATGGTCTACTTGGTACGATGCTCACGTGGGCCACTCGAGCCTTCCAGATTCCAGATTTCTCCTCAACACCAATGATAATCCACCCACGTCGTTCGTCCCCTTGATAACGATCAATAGCATAGAACCGAACATTATGAAGGCTTGAATGAAATCGGTCCACACCACCGCGCGTAAACCACCCTAATCGGCAAAATGCATCGTTGGCGAGTAATTTTCACATGGCTTACAATAACAACGTAAAAGAGATGATATAATTTTCATCTGAATTTACAGAATAATTTCTTACCACGCAGGTGTAAAAAATGCACACGATACACACGAACGGAGTCACTATGTGCACATTCACCCCAGTGACTGAAAGTTACGCTATTATTATTTTTTCTTTTTCATCAGAGATACCGAATGTTATTATGTAATCAAATATAACGTAGAAGATAAACAAGCGTTTGTCAAAATCGGAATTTAAAATATATATTGTTATATACGTTATCTATTTTGGTTTCATACTATAATAATAACTATTTTATTATTGAGTATTACTGAAAGGCCTGAAGAAGATTCATACAAGCATTAAATTTCTTGTATTAATAATTGGTATAATTACACAACGTATGTACGATACCTTGATTGAAAGCTAGGGCAGGTACGTAAATAACGATAGGAAGCCATGTCATCTAAAAGGATAAGGAATGAATTTTTGTAGATGTTTAGAATTGAAGCGAACCTATCTATACACCTGTCCCCTGACGCATACGGTGGATATTATCAACAAAATACTATGTAAATATATTTACAGGATATCCGTATAAGGATAAAGTAAATCTAGAATAGAATAAATTAATTCAGACGTAAAATAGAGTTAAAATACAAATGAAAGATGAACACGGTATCACTCCATTCATGAAATAAGAGATACATTGTTACTATATCTTATACATTTATAATTTTTAGTTTCTACGGATTTTTTTTTTTATTTTTAAGGGGGAAGTCTGGTCCAGCTAATGTATTTTTCGAATGCATATAATTTCCAGATATAATAATTTTTGTTATTGAAACTTGTTTTCCATATAAAGGGACGTTTAAAGAAGAAAATTTGACAGTGTAGATTTAATTTGAATGTACACATATATAGATATACATAGTAGTCGCAAGGAAAGGATTCGGTCAAAACGGTGGGATATGTGGAGCTCTGGGAAAACATCTGATAGGTAAAATCAGAAAATTTTTTTCTTTAGTAGGTACGTAAAATGCGTATGAACCTTAATTTGCAAACAAAAATTGTTAATTGTTAATTGCAAAAATAGCGGCAAAAAACATGAAAATGAACGATACATGTCGGCCGTTATTTTGTAATAACGTAATGCTACAATAATAATTCATTAAGAGTCGAGGTTTATTAGCATATAAACTTAATTACCTTCAATTTAAGCGTTGAATCAAGTGAATCGGATAAAAATTCGATGAGCTATGCGTCCCATCGTTTTGACCGAATCCTTTCCTTGCGACTACTATATCTACACGGTCTGTCTAAACAGAAACCGAAATTTTGCTATTAAAAGAAAAAAATACAAGTAAAGTTTCTACACACACGTTTATTTACTCAAAATAATCTCCCTCTGCGCCATATATATATATATATATAAATATAAAAATATATATTATTATTCTTTGAACATTATCCCTTTATATGTAAAAAAAGTTTCAATAACAAAAATTAATTATATCTGGAAATTATATGCATTAGAAAAATACATTAGCTGGGCCAGACTCTCCCTTTAAGGAGCGATTCGTTATTACTTAAATTTTTAGTAATCCATTATTTTGAAAACTGTGTAAAAAGAGTACCGTCTAAATCACGGGTTAGGTGTATTTAGATTTTTGCTTATCGTCGAATTGATCAATGACTTACGACGCTGATCGAGAAAAGCACCGATCCCAGAATTCGAATCTTTTTATTAAATCGCTTCTCGAGATACTCGTAGGTACTTGTCAGTCTAAGTTCATGGAAGACAGGTAAATATATTCCAGACATCACGAAACCGACGATGATTACCCCAAAACATATACAAAGGTAGCTGGTACCATGCATGTAAACCTCCGTCGGTGTACCCAGTAATGAGATTCCTGTTATTGCAATAATAATTCACGGATCTATTGTACATTAAGCAACAAAATTATTCAAAAAATGTTGCCATACATCATGCTATTTACTCGACAATTATTAAGTGTAGAAATTAATATCGTGCCTTTGCATCGAATTATTTGTAACTCTAGTTTAAATAGAAATATTTGATTCAACATTTCATTTTCCAACTAACTTCTCCACTTTAGTTTTCTCCCGGAATGTGTGACTGAGGGAAGATTAAAAGTTCCACTACTTCTTCTGTATAAACAAATGCTATGTTTATCTTAGAAAGCTATAGAATTAATTTCTACGCCTAATATTTTCCAGAATCTAACTTACAATACATTATACTACTCGTTCTTTAAAGTTCGAGCTTCAAACAATTACAATTTTAATCTATCAGAATAGAAATCACAATAAAAATCACGATTAAAACTATAACTGTTTGTAGTTTAGATTCCAAATTTGGTAGCTTAAGCTACTGATTTTATGTCTTCATTTTAAGTTAATGTTGATTAATTTTTATACTCAGCTAAAAGAGTGTGATTAGAAGCAAGGGCCTACCAGATATGAAGCTGGCTATTAGACTCAAACTGACGGGGAAGGTCTTCATGTTTCTTCCACCCACGAGGTATTCGTCCTCCCCTGACGATTTCTTAATGAAACCAAAGTAAATCCCAACTAGGCCACAGGTCATCAGCATGAACGCGAAAACCAGGTAGTCCCACATTCCGAAACTTCGCATCATTTCGCTCACTTCCTGGACCGTAGGCACATCCTGCGACCATGTTGGTAGACGGTCCTCCAAAGCACCATCCGCGGTCATTATGTTACAAAACGGAATCTTGGGTTCAGATACAACGCCTCTGGGCGCTTTGCGTTACGACTTCCGTTCTGTCCTCACGGCAATTAATCGAATTTAATTGATGATAAAACGGAATAACGAACGTAATGCATAAAACAATTCGAGCTAGTTTAGCTGAATTTAAACATTTCGATCCTGGTTGATATTCAGGATAAAATCTTAATACAACGTTTGCGTTAACTAGAGATGAACCTACTATCTATGAACTACGAATATTAATAATAATAATAATAAATTAAATATCGCACATACCGTAATTGTTGTACTTGAGAATTGTTTTGTCCATTAAAACTTCTTTATCAAAAGAGATTACGGAGAAGTGGACTTCCGCTACTTCCACTTGGATACATTTGCGAAAACAGCGAACCGAAATTGATATAAAAGTTGCTTTACAAAATGTATAAACGATGCGTTTTTACACAGGATGTACACATTAAAGAAGAATGTATTTATATTTACACGAGAACTAGATAAAAAGAATTACTAACAATGCGACACGTTTGTGTGATGCGTGCTGACCGTAGAAGGTCGCAGAGGGTATCACGGAAGACCGACTACAACTACCGTGACAGTTCATCTGAAAAGAGCCAAAAGCCCGAAGCGGCTCGATCCGATTGCACACATCATGATTGTGCCATTGTGACAATTTTCTCATTAAACCGACAATGGACATTAAGTACGAAGTTAAAACGACCGGGTATATATCGGAGTGAATCGTAAGTGGATAATACGACCTAGATATAGTTGTAGTCGTGTAGATGTGTTTGGTCACACTAACGATCGCGATTTAGCGAGGCTCCCGAAATGATTTTCGGGTATCAATAAATTATTTATCGGATTTGTTACAACGTGTAAAGACTTCTTTAAAGACTGTACTAACGTATTAGTTTAATTTTGGGACGACACAAAATTAACGAGAAATAGTAAAATAGGTGTCCTTTTGTTTAGATTTAATTAAGAAACTCGACATAATCGGTACAAGATTTTTGGTGCTATACAATATAATTTATGAATAACATCTGAACATAAAGATGTTCAACCCTCATAAAAGCGTGGCAAATCGTTGCCCAGTATAACTTTTCTGTCAATTCCTTGTTCCGTGATAACACCAATTCGAATGACACCGCCGCTGCTACCGTCACGAGACATCGCCAATGCCAATGCTGTAAAGTCAAGGAAGTCCATAAGTATCAAACTATTAGATAATCATATCGGCATGCGTGTTAACTGCTTACTATTTTCAACTAATTTGACACATTCATCCTTTGTCATGTTTGGTTTGTACTGAGAATCCATGTAACCATACACATACGTCGAACCAGACCCCCCAATGGAAATTGGTTGCCGTACACACATGCCACCTATGGGGACACTATAAACTTGACCTCCCTTACGGCTGTCCCATCCTGCCACCAAGATTCCAGCCATTAAAGAATCCCGGTAATTGTAACACAATTCGCGGAATACATTTGCTGCTGTTTCCACTAATGGCTCCATGCCTAATTCCATTCTACAAAAATATAATTGTGTCGTTTATAATAATTACTATTAAATATGAACTAATTATACATATAAGCTACTTACTTGTGAAGTGCTAAATGGTATGCGACTATGTCTGAAATAGCTTGAGTGTCTGCTGCTGAACCAGACCGACAACAATAAATGTAGTCTGTGATTTTGGTCAATTTATCAGCAAAGCGATTGGAGATATAAGCCCTGCAAGAATATTAAACAGTTATACAACTATTGTTATATTATCTGGACAAGGGTTAAATAGGATTTATTTCTTACCCTGTAGTTGCTCGAGAATCTGCTCCAATCACAACACCTCCATTAAATTCACAAGCCATAATTGATGTCTAATTAACAAAATTTTTAAAAAGTTATATGATTAATCGAATAATTTATACTATCAATAAATAATAATTGATAGATATTAGAGCATATCAAAGTGAATATACTCTTTCATAAATTATTAAATTATTATTGTATGTAAGAGAACCGTCGAAATTTATGAAAACAGATGTATGTCGTGTAATTTATTAAGATTATTAGGAATTTTTCATTGAAGATACCCATAAGTTTGCATTGTCATTCTAACCTAGAAACACATTAATGTCAAAGTTTAATCGAAACTTACGCCTGTACTTTGTTCCGAATGAAGCCAATCTGGAACTAAATTATCATTAACTGGACCCATGTTGTGTTGAACCAAATTATCCACCGCATAAGCCATTATTTTCAAATTTAAAGAAACTACCGCTTTAACCGATCACTATAGAATTGTTGAAAGATGAAAGCTAATTCACGTAAATTCACGTAGTACAGTGTAGCCATCTATAAAGGTTGAAGGACGATGAGAAAGCTCACTTCTAAACACAATCGCTAGAAATAAACTATATTACGAATCCAATAAGATTATTAACAAATATTATAATCTTTCAATAAAACGAAATCAATTTGCCGTTACTTAATATCTGATAATCAATTCTTCTTTATGACTCGAATCATGTTTACGTCATAGGATGAAATTCTAACAATGACCAAACGAAAACATTTTTTTAAACAGAACCATTTTTACTGTTATAAAATCAATATTAACGTTGAAAAGAATATAATGCCATCCAAAAAAAATCATGGAAGTTCCGGGGATGTAATTGTAACGAGGAAATTAAACTATGAAACGAGAGTGCAACATTGTTGTTTGAAAATTTAATCTGTTGAACCATGTTGAACCTCGACCACGCCAGTCGAATGTGTCGCATGTATTTCGCTTGTATATTTAGACAGTGGAAAATACGTTGCTACTTCAGAAATAAAGTACTCGCTCCTTGGAATTCGTGTTTAGTGTAAAATCGTGTTCGTGGATGATATTTAACGCATGACTTGACACAGAAGTTTTGTTAACTTTACGGGAAATAGGAAACAGAAAAAGCGTGTTCGCTTGTCGATTATACGTCTATCGTGACCCTTACAACTTTCTCAGGATACCTAAAAATTTCTCAAAGTGTGCGGTAGATCGAGTGCAACGTTCTCATGTAATCCTTGACTCGTGTTACAGTTGATTTATCAGTAGTGCGTTTATAGTGCTTCGGGCATTGGATTAACAATGAAAATGTCATATGCTATGCGAAAGAACAGCAGTAACAATCGGACAAAAAGTGTTGATTGTGATCGTGGGTAGCAGCCGGTAAAGAAATGGCAATTCCTAGTTGGAAGATTTGGGGTAGAAACCTTCGTATAAGCCATCGTATGTTGAACATTGACTGTCAGTTTCTTTATTTCGAAACTACGCTCGTTTTCTATTCATGTGTTCTTTTTATAGGCCACCAAAACACTGAAGACAGCTGCGTGCAACTCGATCTGTCAAGAGGTTAGTAACCTAACCTGTAATCTGCAACTTTCTACTCACAGTACTCTTGATAACATGACCTCACATAGGTCTACAATTACAGTGCCAAACATAAATATTAGTACAGAGCGATTCTCAGAAGGAAGTTGGTTGTAAATGTGAAAAAAACAATCATAACACACATTTGATTCTCATTGTAACATAACTTTATTATCTCATATTCTCAAATATGTAGAAAAAAAATTCACTCATGTTTTGTACAATAACAAGATAATCGTAAATGTGCTTCAAGCTGGACACAAATATTGGCATGTTGCAAGTATTATGCTGAAAATGTTGTTTTTCATGCTGTCTTCTTATAACATAATGATGTTGTGTAATAGGGAATCTCAGACATAACGAACGCTAAGAACTGTTGGTTTGGAGTATCTTTAACTTTTCCAATGTTAAAGTGATTTTCTTTTATCGTAATCTGTCATATATATTTGTGTCTTTCAATAATATTTTGTACTGTTGCATAACTTGTGTACATAATATTTCTAATCTCTATATAATTTTTCACTTCTCCAAATATTGACTAATTTATGATACCTAAACTTGTTTCTTTCTCTTTTCTAATGATGAATGCATTAATAGAAAAAAGTAGAGAAGAGAAGTTATCAACATATTTCTGGAGTAAAACTTTTTTTTCCTGTACTCTGTGCATTATAAGATACCATTCATAGTTAATCTCCTATTTTGGGAATACTGATTTAAAACATTTATAAAAATATTAAATATCTGTTTATTTTGAGTAGTTATATAAAATTGTTGCTCATGCCAATAACTTTGTGACTCACTGTACGCATGTTTATCTTTGTAACTTCCATTGCAATAGGTGTCTCCTAAGTAATACAAGAAACAACAACTTCAAATTAAAGTAAACCGTCTTTAAGGGATAATAGAAAATTACTTTTTAATGTCAGCATTCATAAGCTTTCCAACGTAACAGTAAGCAACTTATTTTTGTTCTACACTGTTACAGAAAATAAGGAAATATATATTTTTATTGTATACATAGCCAAATAATTTTGTAAAATATATCTACATCTCTAATGACTATTAGAAATGCATTTTTTCATTAGGTCTGAAGGAAAACATTAAAGAAATTTTGACTAACCTTTGTCAGCGACACAATGTTCCAAGCATAAAAAAACTAGCATATCTTAATGCTATTGTTAAGTTAATTAGTGAAAATGATTCACCGGAATATGGGTATGCCACTGACGATATATTTTGCTGGTAAGAATTTTTGAGTATTCATTATGAGTATTATAGAATTATTATCGTGTATCATTACATTATTTTTTAATTTTCTAGCCTACGAGTTGGTCTCATTCATGAAGCCACACAAGTTCGTGCTGCCGCATTGCGTGCAGTACGATATATGCTCAAGAAAGAACAAGATGTTATTGCAATTAATAAATTGCAATATCCATATTTTGTTGCTCGTAGTATGGATATTAATTTACGAAATGAAACAGAAGGATTACAAGCTCTTAGACTTGTTAGAAGAATTTTAGTATTAGCTCCAAAACATTTTAGTCCAATTTTAGCAAGATCTTTAATAAGCCTGACAAACGGAGGAGTCGAAGAAAAGGATGGAACGTTTCGAGCATTTTTGGCAACTCTTTGCGAGTTAGGAGTTCTAAATTCAAATTTGTTAATTAGCTGCGGAGGCATTGGTGCCCTTGGAAGAGCTGCTATGACTGGACAAAGCCCTGCTATAATAGAATCTGTCGTAGCAGTCTTATTAAAGTTATTAAATACTCCCGAAACCAGGAATAGTGTTTCTCTCTTATGTTTTGCTGCTCCTTATTGCGAGTTGCATTCTTTAAGTATAGACGGAACAAAAGAAGAACGAGAAAGATTCGCAGCAAGTAAATTGGCATTATTGAGTATACTGAGATCTTATCCTGGTGTTCTACATTTTTGTCGACCCGATGATAACTCAGGATTAAAAGCTATAGCAGATATATTGTATGTTGAACAACTCGAAGTACGACGCGCTGTTCTAGAATTACTTTATGAATTGTTGAATCTACCTTTACCTACATGGACAGATGAGCCAGATGTTGCTCTAGCAGCAGTAGATCCTAGTAGGACGCGTGATTCATGGAAATTGTCAGAAGGCTTTGTTGCGGCTGAAGGAAAATATATTTTACCGTCTTTATCGTCACGCTGTCCGAATATTACAGAAATACATTTAGCGTTGCTGGTTTACGTTTTATTAGAATGTGGTCTCCATTACGCTCTCGCGGAAACTATTGTTTCTAGCGATACATTTATTTCTGTACGCGCTGCTGTTCTTTTAGGTGCGTTATTGCATCTTGCACATTCTCTATTGCCTCCAGAAGCATGTGATCTTACACCTCCTTTACCGAATTTATTGGAACACGCGAGTGCTGGAAAGCACCAGGCCTTAGCAGCTGTAACAATTTTGGAGCGAATGCATATTATGATGCGACGAAGACCAGCACCTGCGAGTCTATTTCTAGATAAAATTTTACAAGCAGGTACTTGGTTGAGGCCGACCATACCAAGACGGCAACGAACGTCGGGCAGGCATTGGCTGCGTAGAGAATCGCCAACTACTCCTCTCTTAAAAGATGCTCAAGTACTCAGTTCGAAAGATGCTCTCGCATGGAATTGGCCGGTAGTGCGATCTATATTACGATCACGAGAAGATACGATGCGAATATTCCATGATTCCGATCACAGGTTGTTCATGAAAAGGCTCGTACGTTATTTTAAACCTTGTTCAAATGGATATAGTAGAATAGAGCTAGCAACAAATGCCAATTTAGCACGAGAAGCAACATTAGCTGGTTGTGATTTATTAAACTGTTTATTAGAACTTCACGAACCCGAGGGTACGAAACTATTAAATGAATTAATTGGAGATATCGCGGAGCAAATTACTTGCGTTCAAACAGCTCAGTCTGCTCACGAGTGTTTATTTTCACCTCGTCATATGTCTACCACTTGTTGTCAAAAGTATTTCCTGTTTCTTGGACATTTGAGCCATTCGGCGAAAGGAACTGTAATCCTGAATGGGTTTAATTTATTAGAAAAGTTGCAAGACTTAGCTTTAGCTACTAATCATGACTGTTACGTTAAACTAATAGTCTCAAGTTTAGATTATTCTAGAGACGGATCTAATAGGAAAGTAATGACTAAGATTATTACGGAAGCATCATCGGACAATACACGTCTATACGCTACACAGTTCCTTCGGTTGATACTGAGAGCCAGAATGGCCGATGCCTATCGTTGGGCGATAACGTTACTGTCTGATCGGTTATCGGATTCCAATAAAACTGTAGCACTAACTGCTTTAGAAGCGTTGCACGAAGCTTGCGAAGAAACGAAGTATTTAGAAGCTCTGTTGCAGCAAGGAGGTCAATCTCGTGATTGGAGTAAATGGCTCGAAGAATTAGGCGACAAAGGTTACTTGTTGAAAATTCGATTGTACTCTCTTCATCAAGGTTTCACGACACTTTCATCTCCCACGGAAGAATTGGAAAAGTGGATTTGTCCAGGGGGTTTCGCAGAAAGATACGTTGGTTTAATAGAGGGTGAAATACACGATTCCTTAACGCGTCGTCAAAGAGATGAAACTGGAAGTTATCACAGGAGAACAACTAACGTTCCTATGACACCTCAAGATATTTTTGTTTTGCCACACTTGATAGGACAATTGGCACAACACGAGCTGGGTATGCAGTTGTTGTTACGTCGAAATGTAATACAACGTTTCGCTCGAGTTATTCAACGATTCAGAATGGAAGTAGGCGGTACGGATTCGGAATCAAACTCGCGGTGTACCAAAACTAATTGTTCATTAATCGATGATGGTTGCGTTATGTCAGAGGAGTCCGGTACAGACGAAACGGTAGAATCGAATAGATTGGAGACAATAATGGATTCCGAGTCTGCGGAAGTAATAGATACGTGTAACCTACAAAAAGGTGATTCCTTAGCCGAACTTCGTCGAAAGACAAGTCTAGATGATTCAAGACGCGTCACTGCAGATAGGAGTTGGAGATTGGAGTTGAAAGCTCGAGACGAGCAAGGTACTAGTTTAAGTAAAAAGATTTTAAGAGCGAAGTCTGCATTGTGGGTTCTTGGCCACGCTGGAACATCGGCTGCTGGCGTAGAACAATTAAATCATTTAGGAACTATAGAATTGATAACGTCCATGGCAGAGACATGCCCGTATTACGCGGTACGAGCAACAGCTATGTATAGTCTCAGTCTTATTGGCACCACTCGTGCAGGTGCTGATGCACTGTTGAATTTCGACTGGCCATGCGTCAGACACAGACGTGGAGATCATTGGCCAATTGTTCCTCCTACTAGCACGTATTCAGCGCCAAGTCCGATCCCCATACAACGACACCATCGAAGTCTTAGTGACGGGAAACCAGAGTTACCGGAACCAGTAGCTCGAAGAACCAGAAATAGATCCGAAAGTGCAGCTACAGATCTTGAAGCCAGGCGCTATGCTCTACCGTAAGACTTGTTTCCAAATTTCTGTTGATTAATAAAATTCAATAAATCTTTTTTATTCTATGATGTCATTAATAATCTTCTTTCATTACAGAGAAAGGGGAGAAACACCAAGTCCTGTTTCAAGTATTCAAAGATTAAGCCAACAAGATGCTGAAGGGTATGCAAAACTTCGTAGCTTCCAGCGCCATCGTAGGCCAAGTTATTCTCAAAGTAGTTTAGAGGTAAGCGTATCAATTTATCTTTCATTTCACGGAACGTGTAACTAAGCATTGTTGTATCTGATTTGTTTAGATGTACAGTTTAGATGGCCGACTTTCATTGCAGAGTTTATTAGAGTTTGATTCATCTCGCAGCTGGATTGCGGATCACGTACTCACCTCGACGCCTCCACCTCCTGAAGATAGTAACGATAATTTATTTTACATGGGTATCGCCCTGCCAAAGAGACTTATAACTATTTTTCCGGAACTGCCACAACCATCCTTCCGAACTATAGCGGACAACGTACCTAAATCCGATGTAGAATCGACCGAAGTGGATGAAGAGTCTTGTTCGGAGTATGACGTAGATGCAGACCATTGTCGTATATGTTTAGTATGTCGCCCCGGAAAAAGTAGTAACAGAGATTCGATTACAGATCAAGACGCTAAGTTGCAAAGGTAAGATTAATTTAACACGTTTAACATGTTAAACAAAATTAAATAATACTAATTTTAATGATGTATGACTTTACTTGAACAGAGTAATAATCAGACATGCTCAGCGCATGGCAAATCCTCTATGGTACAGGCATAGTCGGCAAACCTTGCTTAGATTACGACAACTTCATTCGGAAAAGTTTCAGGTATACCAAGAAATTCAGTTTTAAGAATAAAAATAAAGTACGTATACCTACAATAATTTCTTAATATATAATGTTACGTTGTAGGACGCTTGTTTGTTTTCGGACGTAGCAGCTCGTTTAGGCAGTGGTACATACAGAATGCCAGCACGGCGATTTTTACAAGAATTATTCCTGGACTCTAAATTCGATGCAGTAAGTCTACACCATATTTTATGGGGGAAACAGAGTAGCGCGATTTAAATTGTAGTTTGCAATTAATGTAAATATTTTAATGCAGCTTTACATAGAACCGGCTAACATACTAAAATTGAACGATGGTAATGACGAGAAATCATTGCGACCTCCCATTTCCACGCCACCTGAACCCAACTCCCGTGTGCCTTCAGAAAGTAAAATCAATGGAAGAATTACTTTTTCTGAGATTCAAGTAACTCAACTGGATGCCGTTATCGAGGTGGCAGGGGGCGATTCCTGCGTGACGCAAAAATATAATAAAACGCAAGAAGTTTTACGCAAACCAGAACGACGAAGCGATGAGAAGATAATAGCCGAAATTTTAAAACCAGAGGAAAGGATACGTCTGTCAAAGAGTTCCGATAGATTGTTAAAGGTATCAGGTACAAACAGTGCCATCAGCCTTGATTAGTAATTCCCGGTTCTCAAGCAATTGTAAATATTTTGTACCATAATATCGTTAAAGTATGAAATACATTGCACTGCCAAAATTGAGTCAAAAACCGATAAATCGATATATGCTTGTGTGATTCTAACGATTGAAAGAATCAGTTTTGTTAGTTGATTGCAGGTTATCGCAAAATGAGTTGTCGGATAATGTATACGTTTTTTACACCTCGTCTGTGATGCAACAATAAGATGTACTAACAAAAAAAAAGGTATAAATTGTTTTGTGACACTCGTACTTTGCGTTTCTAATTTTTTTTAATGTGTTCCAAATTTTAAGACAGAAAAACAAATGTAATTATCTCTGACAAATAAAATTTGTTTTCTCATCTTCCACGTAGATTAAGTTTCATTTAATAAATAATGAAACTCGAAGTCGTAAATTCCAGATAGGCATAGCATCGACGGCTTCGAGGCAGTGCTGCCGCAGCAACTTAGGCGACGGTTAAGGTACAGTATGAGTGACGGAGAAAGAAACAAACACGAATAAATGAAAAATAAATGTAAATGGCTAGGAGTGGTTGCGCCGAAGGTTTTCTTCGGAAAAGTAGAAAATAGATGTAAATTATTCCTTAATTATGTAAATGAGATATAGCACCTTCGCGTCTCTACACGATATCACATATATGTATATGTTATTAATACATTATTAATACATATTAATACATATATTAATTTTATAAGTTTATATAGGACATTGGTGGTACTAAGAATTGAATTTTGCAGATGTAGGCTAACGAATGTCGAAGTTTTCCTTTACTGATATATTACGGTAATTCTGGCTACTCTTCGATCTTGTACTTTGTATCCAATGTTTCTCTAGAACCATCTAGAACTCTGACATTGAGATTGACAAATCCGTTACGTGACTCAGTCCGTGACTGCTTTAGAATATAAATGAATGTTATGTTACTACAGTTGAGAGGACTAGGCAGTCAAATTGCACCGATATTAAATTTTTGGGAATTAATTTCAAAGAAATTAATGCGAATTCTAGCTTTTTCCTTTACACAACATTTGTGTGTATCATAAAGGCTAGAAGGACAAATTTTTCCTGTTAGAAAAAGTTGCTTTTTACTTGTTATACAGGATTTGAAAACCATAAGAAAAAGTTCCTTGACGAAAAGTTTAGTAAAATTCTAGACTGAGAAATCGTTCATGGACCCGTTATGGAACTACAACAGAGTCGATGCAAGAACCGTTAACGCAATGCTGCGCAGTGCTTCCCAACAGCATCCTGGAATGCTGCACATGAAGTACAGCAGTGAGCCATAAATAAATCTTGAAAAAATGTTATTAGCAAAACAGTGAGCATCGCTTGGAAATAATCTAGCTACCTACTTCTGTGAACAAATGTTTTTCCATAACGCTAACCATAAAGAATGTAAAACGTTTACGTTTATAAACGTATACGAACTTTAGATGAGAAAATACGAGTACGCATTTCAAATATTACCAGAAACATGAACAAATCATGTACAAGAATATAATCGCAAGCATCTTATTAAAAATTCAATTTTATTCGGTTTTTAAGAAAAATGTTAGCTTCTCGTAAGTGTGCCATGGCGCAAATAGGTTGAGAAGCACTGCTTTAAACAAGCAATATTAAGACTGCAACGGGAATCGATATATTCGGTTTACGACAAGTTTTAGTTTTAATTCTTTAATTGTTGGTTGCAATTTAAAGGTAATTGATTGACTGTAATTGCTGCAAGCAATAATTTTTACATTTAAAAAAGTTAATTGTCAATCACGATTAACTAATTGATCGGCATGATCCTAATCTCGGCGTAATCCTACCTAATCCTACCTACATATTTAAAAAATCAAAGAAAAATGATGTTTCATTCACAGTATGGTAATATACAACTTGTTAAACGTGAATATGCATTATGTATATCAATAATTTATGGCTAATTGTGTAAAAACAACTACTTGTATACCATAATGAAACTTGTATGTCTTCTATGTCACCTAGAGAGTAAGCGTAATTTCTGAAAAAACAGTTTATTAATACAAGCAAACGTAACCCAAGAATATTAAACTTTCACAACGCGAACAGAGAAGATTGCACCGCCAGTTATGACTTGGCGAAGTACCGAGTCATTAAATAGAAAGCAGTCAGACGTGATAGTAAACGGAAATAGTTATTTTGTTTACCGATCCCGAGGAATTAAGGACATCGAGCAGAACGGAACTGTAATGTTCTATACCTGTACGATTCGCTGGAACGAATTTATGTATAACAATTTGCTAAGATTTTAAACATGAAATGGAGATTTAAAATTATGTATATATTTTTTTGTATGTTTTCCATATTAGTATACGTCATAAATGCATAAAATCCGCAGTCTATTTGGTCACCTTTTAAGAATTATAATTGAAAATTTTCCCAGCTTCTTTTAGTTCCTTGTGATGACATTTTTTTATTTATTACAATGAATCGGAAATGCACAGGACAGGGACTCGTTAAAATATTCATTGCACGATACGGTTTGTCGGCATCTTTTTGGCGTACCTGTAACCGACAATGTCAGCAAAAGTTATTCAAATCGAAGAATTTGATTGCGGTGTTATTTCCTGCTAACGAACCTGCAGAATTTACGCTTACATTGTGGCAAGGTGGTCTCTATTTAAAATAATTATTCCCTGAAATTGCACTAAGGAACGCAAGATTGCTATGCGATCACGTGTACTACATTTGCGAGAAACTAATGTTTTGTCAAATAGCGAGATGCAACTGGTAATTATGTTCTTTAGATCTCTCCTAAACTCACAAGTTTACGGGTTTCTTAAATTGCAGCTGGAATCTTTTTAGAAAATTTTCTGCAGTTTCTATTTGTAAAAAGTTTTCCAAAAAGTGCTTTAGGATTTCGTTTTCTTCTTTTTTTTTATAAACGACAAATATTATGGAATATATCCGATTATATTTGCTGCCTAATCAAATGATAAACGTATCATCGTCTCATTACAGCTGTTTAAAAATAGATAAATGAAATTACACATACAGTCGTACAGAACCAATTCAAAATGAAACTTTATGTAGTTATTTTATTAATAAATTTTAGGGGAAGAAATAATTAACCAACACTCCTACATATTTTTAGAGTAGAACTTTGCGTAAATTAAAGTTTTAAATTAACTTTTAATGTTGGCCTCTTATTTCTTTTCTTATTCATTTTATTTTAAATTGATTGCTGTACGAATACTTCTTACACGGACTGTATCTGTTAATTCGCTTATAATAAGTGTTATAAATACAGCACAGCTTTATTATTAGAATTTTCTTGGAGAAACGTTTTTGAACATAATTTCTCCTTCTTTTTTTCATTATTATTGATATATGTATCTGAATTCTACCAGCACTTTCAAATACGAATTTACGATCATGCTGATTGGTCGTAGTACAATCAAATATTGTGCAACTCTTTTCCTCTTAAACTATAAATGTAGTTGTTTGACTGACGACGTACGTTGTCACCTTCACGTGAAGGGAGCAAAGGTCCCTTCAAGGTATAGTATATATATGTGATATCGTGTAGAGACGCGAAGGTGCTATATGTCATTTACATAATTAAGGAATATATTACATCTATTTTCTACTTTTCCAAAGAAAATCTTCGGCACAACCACTCCTAGCCATTACGAAAAAAGATTTATTCAATGAATGTTTACCATTTATTAATATTATTGTTTAAATTCGATATATAAATTAATAACAGATATTTAAAAACAGAGAATATCATTTTAAAAATGAATTCGCCAACTATGCGTATCCTACTATACATACCGTCTCTTTTGATGCTATGCAAATTACGTTTGCAACCAGTAACGTGGAACAATTTGAACCTATACTTAAATGAAGCTTGCAAATAAAATACCATATTTACGCACTTTGCACATTTTCTACGAATAATAAATCGATGGACATTCGAAATTCAACAGTCGATAGATTTCTTCAATGATTTCTAATCTAATTTCCTATATTAATTATCATTTGATATTTGAAATTAACTTGAAAATATGTAAATAATTTAAGTATCAATTACTAAAAGCATCAAGCTTGTACACATTTTAATTATAAATTGGTTTTTTTTAGAAGATTTTGAAACAAGTAGGATTGAAAATTATTCTAATAATTTCTATCTCGATCATTTTTTAGGACAAATCTGGTAGGAACAGTAAATGGAGATAGAAAGCACTAGAAATTCGATCAAGCATGATTTGTGAAAGTGTAACCGAAGTAAACGAACATATTTACCGTTCTACTACCGTTTTTTTTTTTTAAATTTGTCGTTTTATCTACCAGCACGTATTATTTACTCGACCTTGTATACATATATATATATATATATATAAGTATTTTCATGTTCTACATATTTTTTGTACGTAATATACAAATAACACTAATGAATTTTTTAATCATTGGTATTGAATGGCCTCTTTAGCTCCTACTGCCAGACATTTTTTATCCGTTTCATAATTCTCCTCTACGCAAAATATTATTCGTATTTGAATCTATACAAGCCTTGAAGCACGATTAAATTTCATACTGATTTTCTAAATTCATACTAGTTTTATTCTTTCGATTGTCCCACCAATTGTCCACAGTTGTTCCAGCAGTCTCTACCCGAAGTTCTGACTTCTCAGTTTCACTCAGTTTGTGACGAACCAGCGAAGCAAGTGTTGTGTGTTTTTCCGGCAGTTTTTTCCATGCGTTCTAGCACTGTGTTTGGATTCGTAATAAACGCGTAATTACATTATTTGATCTGCGACGTCTTGAAGCGAGATCAAAACAGAGATTTTCGAAAATAAAGCAATTACGATGGTACCGGACATTCCAAGTTTCTACAACGGGAAAACTGTGTTTATTACTGGCGGTACAGGTTTCCTCGGTGTTTGCCTGATCGAGAAACTACTACGTTGTGTTCCTGATTTGAAGAATATTTATTTATTGGTTCGACCAAAAAAGGGAAAAGCCATTGAGGAGAGACTGGAAGATATCAAGAAAAATTCGGTACGAATGTGTTCGAAATTGGAAATAGATATGATAACCTACTCAAAATTATCAATTTTTGACTTGTGAAATTTTTATAGCCATATAGTACTTTTATTTTGTTCTTAATACCCTGAATATTTACAGGAGTTACTGGAATTTTATAAATTGTTTGCTATACATAACATACAATAATATATTGTTTTGTTCTACTATTTCAGGTATTCAATAGATTAAAGGAAGAAAATAAGACTCACCTCTTCAAAAAATTGATTCCTGTTGCTGGTGATGTGGGAGAAGAAAATTTAGGTCTGTCATCCGTAGATAGGTTGACATTGGTGGAAGATGTTCAAATTGTTTTTCATTCTGCTGCAACATTAGATTTTGAAGCAGATCTGAGGTCTACAACAAAAGTTAACTTATTGGGAACACGCAGAGTTGTGGAACTTTGTCAAGAAATAAGAGATCTCAAGGTGAGCTCCTTATTTTTATTAAATCCAGTTATGGTAATTGGAATTATTCATATTATTTTCTTCTTCTTTAGGCATTAGTACATGTCTCCAGTGCATATGTTAATTCAGTGTTGCTTGAAGTCGAAGAACGTGTGTATCCTGCACCATTTGATGTAAATGAATTAACCAGATTAGTAGAGAAATTAGACGATACTGCTTTAGAAACAGAAACACCAAATATACTGAAAGATCATCCAAATTCTTACACTTTTACAAAACATTTGGCTGAGCATGAAGTTAAGAATGGACGTATTCCTGCTGCTATTGTGCGTCCTTCCATGAGTATGTATATTAAAAATGAAAATATTTTTTGTTTGTTAAAACGCACTAGTATTTCTGTATAAATTAATGAAATTTGAAATTATTAAATTATAAATCTTTATCTAAGTATTATGTTATTTATTCACAGTAACAGCAGCATGGAAGGAACCAGTCTCTGGATGGACAGTATCTAAGAATGGTCCAGCAGGATTCTTAATGGGTGCTGGGAAAGGTGTTGTGAGAAGATTACCAATGGCAAAGCATTTAATTTATGATTACATTCCAGTGGATATTGTTGTAAACAATCTTATTGCTGCAGGCTATGCAGTCAACCGTGATGGGTACAATCACATTTTTTTTTTAATATTAAAACTTAATCGTATAAATTACTTATTAAATAGAAAAAAAAAATTATACTAACAATGATGCTTCTGTTACAGTGGTAGAGAATTAAAAGTTTATCATTGTACATCTAGTACAATCAATCCTTTCAGATGGATAACCCTGGAATCAAAAATTAATAACTTCTTACATAAATTTCCATTGAAAAGCGCAGTGTGGTATCCATATCTTAAATTGGTATCCTCGATTTTTTTATTCAGACTCTCTGCAATTTTCGTACATTTAATTCCTGCATATATTTTGGATACAGTTACTAAATTAGCAGGAGGACGGCCAATGTAAGTGCATTATGATTAAATCAATTTCAAATCTATTAAATATTCACTTCTTTAAATTTTAGCGCTTCGTTTATAAAATGAAATAATTGTTTTTAGATTGGTACGGTTACACACAAATATTAACAACTCATTGGATCGTTTGAAAATCTTTATCTTTACTGAATGGAAATTTCATAGTCCTCGCACGATTGAGTTACATAATTCTCTATCAGAGGCTGATAAAAAAGTCTTTAATCTGGATATTAAGTCGTTAGTGTGGGAAGATTATTTTGTAAACATGATACAAGGTGTCAGAACATATCTGCATAATGAACATCCAAAGACATTAGAGAAAGCACGCTCCAAAGATAAAGTGTAAGTACTTTGATTGAAAATTGTATATAAATATTTTCGTTATTTATTAATTTTTTGAATTTTTAGATTAATGGTTGCGCATCTGGGTTTACAAGCTTCACTATTAGGACTCGTTTGGTGGCTGGTCAAAATTCTCTTTGCTAGTACTTGGACCAAAACGGGTTTAATTGTTCCCCTTATGTATCTCATTTTTGATCAGTTATAAGTATATCAAACAGAATTCTTTTCATATAAATCCAAAGATACGGAGAATATTGAAAAAGAAGCTACTTTCTCTAAAATATGTAAAAATGCGTAACGTTATTGTTAATTGTTTTAATAATGTTTGCCAACGAGCATTTATATTTCATTAAGCGAACGACGGATTTTACACATTTCTACGTTTAGAATTTATATACAATTTCATACATTTCCACTAACACTCTCCTAACGGTGTTGGGAAATAAAATTATTTAAGTATTATTACAGAATATTTCTATAAACATATTAATATATTAGTATTGTTGTATTGAAAGTTATAATATAAATATAATATGTATATAGATGAACATAAGAATTGAAAAATGTTATTATATATTAAACCTATTAAGTTGCCTATTAATTATTAATAAGAAACTGTAAAATTCGCTTAAAACACTTGTTAAGTGTGGTGTATTTTTAAATATTGTGTTAGTATACGTAGTTCAGTGACGTCAGCCGTGAAGTTAGCAACAGTTAGCAACTAGTAGTCCATGGTTATATAGTCATTCAACTAAAAAACAAAACTTTTGTTTGAATAGATACCCAGCTAGCAGTGAAGGAACAAAACTAATTATAAAAGTCAATCAACGCCCTCGGTGGTAAAACGCCCAAGTTTGTTATGGAATAGTTCATACTTCTGGCGCTAGATGGAGATTCAAAAATGATGACAGTTCAGATTGTCTAATAACTTTGAAAACTTAAAATTTACATCTTAATACACATCTGTGTGAAATATGGATTCAATTTACCATTTAGTTTACTAGATATGATTTCTTGAATTCGTGATTTTTCGTTGCATTTTACAGTAAACGTAAAATGTCCCATATACGCCGATGCAGCGACGCTTCCGTGGACAGTGGGCCTAACGTTTGGGTCAGCGTAAAGCGCGCTCGAGTCAGCCCCAGTGATCACAAAAATAATTTTTCTAAATTTTTCTAATTATAATTTTAAGGAAAGTTCTCAGGATGATAAGAATCGTACAAAATAGAAATGATAGAAACATATTCATAAGTGTCTTTTTATTTCTATGGCGATGACAATCACAAGAGTACAATCCTGAGGAAATTACATTGTAACCGAGTATTGACGTATAACGAAACTATTTATAATACATAATAATGTAGTACATTATTAATAATGGTGATGAATTTTTCAGACAAAAAAAAAAGGTAAAAATATACAGTAATACATAAAAAGTCCGTTACTCTCTGTATAATTACAAACTAAAACGTCCGAGATGTTTCCTGAAAATATAGTAGAACAAATTTCTTCTTAGTCTTCTAACGTGATAAAAATAATTAACAATTAAACACATACGTACAGCACACCGAAATTGATTGTTTGGAATAGAGTTTCGCGTTTTTCATACTTAATTAACGGTCAAATTTTGTTGTAGTCTGGAGCTCACGGCACTGCTTATTTGTTCTTTATCCACATCGCTTATTTTTGCGCTTGGCATCGAGATCTGGCCTAATCTGGTACACGCTTTTTTGTGCATAAACCAATGCAGTCTCTGACATTCTCTGTCACAGTATTGTACTGTTTTACATTTACTGCATTTCTTATTAGCTTTATCTTCCCCGCATGTTACGCAAACTTGTGCACTATCGGAGAAGGCTCGCTGTCCATTAATAGCAGCCGATACTACCGATACAGCGGATGGTGGATCACTGGCTGCAAGTGTCGCTACCATTTGTCGAAAAATTGGGCTTTCCCTGTATGGAAACTCTCTCACGCATTCCCTTAAGAAAACTTCCTGATATTCTGGAGTACCATCGCTTTTACTACATTTTAAAAATTTTCTTATCAGAACCTCGATAGTATCTGATTTCTTTTCTTCTCCTTCCTCGTTTGTTTTCTCATTTTTTTCTGCCTTCATCGCTTCTTGTCTTTTTTGAAATTTGATTACTTCAGCCACGACACAACTTAGGTAATGATATTTGAATGCCATTACCTCATTTGTTTCCGCGCCTCTTCTCATTTCTTTATGACGCATACATTCTAGCACGATTTGTACCTGAAAATAACAAAAACATTTCTCAGATATTTCTGTTGTTTTATAGACATATTTGCATAAACATCTATAGTCTATACATAACATTATGTATTTTACCTTGACAGCATTTTCTAAAAGACCAGGGCATCTTTGTAAATTCATAACTACACGTACAGGATGTACATTGACTTGCATTATAAATTTGTGGAATGAATCTGCCAAGTGTGGTGGAAGCATCGATTCAGTCCTTAATCCTTGTGGTTTCACATAATAATCTATGTCTGCTTTTGGAATGAAATTATTGATAGTTGCTACACAATTATGATTGCCTACAAATGCAGCCATCTGAGCTGGAGTTCGGCCTACACTATTTGTTGCTGTTAATCGTGCACCATAAGACATTAGAAGGTGACACAGCTCAGCATTCCCACTTAAAGCTGCAAGATGGAGAGCTGTATATGCGTGTTTATGTTGGCATGCATTCACATCTGCTCCCTGTAACAATGAAGATTAAATTAACATACTGTGAAGAATATTTTATTCACGTTAAATGGATTCATTAGTTTAGTAGGTAGTATTTGTTATTGATTATGTTGAAATTAAACTGACTTCCTATATTATTAACTAAATGGCATCACAAATAAACTTTTCAAGTCTTCTTATATGTTGAAAATGCAATCAGATTTATATATATATTATATGATATAGTATTTTAAATGGAAATTATTTTCATATTTTGAAGGAGAAATTTTCATTTGAATCACAAAAGCAGAAATTTTATTGTATCAGTGTTGATTATTCTTCCCTCCAATATACTTGTGTAAGGTGTTTCATAAATTTTGACAATCTTCAAACCAGACCTGCAGATAAAATTCAGTCGTACTTAAAAAGAAATTCACATTTACTTATTAAACCGGGAAAATGAAGATGTTGTTTGCTGATTTAACAAATCATTGTTTGTCTAATGTTCTACCTGTTGAACTGTGTGGATACAGAAAGCGAAAAATTTTACGCAATTTACGCAATTTTATTCACTGTTCATCAGCAATAGAAATGATATGATTATTAGAAAAATAAACATATTTCAAACATGTTTTAATCGTTTTGTTAGATTGTTAAAGAGCTAACCTACCTGATCGAGAAGCATCTGTACTATTTCTTTGTTTCCCTTGTAACAGGCATGTTGAAGCGGGCTCATACTGTTATTGTCCACGAAATCCATTTTGATTTTGTTTGCTGCCAATATCGTTTTGAGTTCCGACACTTCATTTTTCGCGATTTTCTCAAAAATCTTCTTCTGTACGTCGATTAGATCCTCCGTGACAGGCGCCATTTTTCCCACTATCGATCAGCATAACGAGAAGTCGAATGTTATAGAATTGTCGAGAACAGGGTTTGTCACGCTTACTCCATGGAGTTTCCCCACCGCTGATATCACTGGATGCACCTAAAAAGACCACTACTCACTAAGCCGCTCAATGAGCGGATTTTAACCAGTGATGCCATCGGTGGTAAAACGTCCAAGTTTGTAGCGAAAGTCTCGTAAGCACCCTCATAACTTTGTAGTGATTGTCTCGTACTTTGACAACTTTGATACACATCTGTGTGAATTATGGGTTCAATTTACCGTTTAGTTTGCTAGATATTAGGTTGTCCCGAAAGTTTCTTTCGCGAGTTGCACTCAATTACTTTATGTGGTCGTGTTTATATATTATAAATAGACAATCTAATTTCATACATATTCATATGTTGTAACAGTAATGGAGCAAAATGAATCGTGCACAATTTAGTAATGTAACATAAAACATAAAATATTGTGCATGTATTACTTATTAATCAAGCGAAAGTAACTTTTGGGACAACCTAATATAATCACTTGAATTTCGTAACTTTTCGTCGCATTTGACAGGAGATTTATGGCAGCTGACAGAAAAAAGAAGTTTTGTATGATACTTTCGACTGTAAAACAATTTGTACAATGTAGATCAAAACCAAAAATGAATGGAAAGCGAACTAATAAGTGTAGATTAATATATTTCAACTTCGGCAAACTTGCCCGTTTAATACCAGAGCAATATGCATTAGAAAACAAGTCGGATATTATATTTTTTCATGCAGACTTCTGTCTCGAGAAGTTGGCAGCGTTTCATATAAACACAGCCGTTGCGCGGTATTTTGAAAAAGAGTGGGCGCTTCAAGATTTTAGAACATAACAATTAAAAATTGTTTAATCTTGTTAAATCTTCAAATGAAATGATACAAAATTTTATTTAAAATCTTTAAATATTGTGTATTGATTATGAATGCTATGAAACATTGTGTTAAATATTATTGTTATAAATTTTTAATGTTAAATGAGGTACATTTTACAGTAAAACCAAATTCCAACATAATTAAACATTTGTGATACACACAGTATCATTGAGTGTTCGATTGAACATTAATAAATAGACTGCGGATCTTTATGCAAAATAAAATCTTCACGTACGTGCCTACAAAAATTGAACCTAAATAGGAATTTATTTTATTCTGCAAATATTATGACGTGAACGTTACTTTTTTGCATTTCGTAGCTTCTTGCGCATTTAAATTTCCTATAAATGCATTATAGGATTATTGTTAATAACACTTACGGGTCAGAATAAGTATTCATTCGAGACATTAATCGTGATAAATTTGTCAATATTTTAATATCTATTCATTGGACCAACTAAATATTAATTTCTGACAATAGTTAAATTAATTATTAACAATACTTGTTATTTAAACAACGACGGGGAATATGATTTTGCTGTGATATTCATGTTTCACGAATTGTTGTCTCTTTACATTCAACGAGCTTTCGAAACGACATGTCACGCGGTTGTTGTTCGCCCTTCCCCTTCTCTACTTCGAGACGCACAGGCGAGCCGCTTTGTTGTTTGCCCTTGCCCCACTCTTGTTCGATAGCGAGCCGCGACCCTCGACACAGGTATACGAGGGGTGCGGTCTCATTCTTCGACGATCCTTCGTTCGATACGGATCTCGCGATCGCGTATCCGCGTCTCGTGTCCCTCCTATTTGTAGTTTCCCTTAGTTATCGTAGCTTAGTATTGGTTGTGGGTATCTTAGTTTGGTTTGGTTAGTTTTAAGGCATGCGTGTACGAGTATCTGTCCTCTGCCAAATAATTATTAATCATTTGTTCAATTCTTTCGTTTGTTCGTAAGTCCATATTGGACTCGCAACTCCGTTCTCCATTTCGGTGACTATTACTTGATGTGATAAGTGTAGTGGCCAACCATGTGACTGGCTGAAGTCGGTTGCCGTCCTCTGGTGAGTCTGATTTGAGAGAAGTTCAATCGACGCCTCCGAGGAATTTTCTAGTCTCTGTACGCGTCAGGCGAAGTCCAGGCTCCCGACGCAGCGCAGCTCAAAAGAGCCGTCAGACGGATGCAAGTCGTGTCCTGGACTCCTGACGTTGTGCAGAGAGTAGAATTCCGTTTCGGACTCTACGACCGTCAGACATACCTGGTGTCGCCAGGGCAGGACACCCCGACGCGGTGCTACCTACGTCGTTCACTGTCAGGTTGGGATCTGGGCCTTCGGCAGCAGGTATGCAGGGAGTAGAGTACTGGCGGAGACGTTGATCGTCTTTCTCTCGAATCAGACTCACCAAAGGAAACGGGACTGACTCTGTAAGTCCAGTTACGTGGTCGCGTCGTGTCGCGATTTCCATTTACCGGCCATTTAGTTCAAATAATTATTTGGCAGAGTCGGACTTAGTTTCGTACTTAGCATTAAGCTCGTCGACTCTATGTAGAGTATGCATCTACGTATGTATACTCTATATAGAGGGAGATCGAAGGAACTTTGATTCCTTCTATCTCCGGGTCTCCACTCGCAGCAACCTCCACGTGGTGAGACCTGGTAATCGGTATTATTCGTGACGAACAATACTTCGTCGCGAATAATACCGAGAGCTGATGGCTGCGAACTTTTAATAAGATCTTTAGATATAAAAAGTGGTAAAGTGGTAAAGTGGAAAAGGGGGAAAGTGCGAAAGTGGAAAGTGGAAAGTGGAAAGTGGAAAAGTGCAAAAGTGGAAAGGGGAAAAGTGTAAAATGCAAAAGTGGAAAAGCGGAAAAGGGGAAAAGTGGAAAAGTGGAAAGTGGAAAAATGGAAACGTGGAAAGTGCAAAAGTGCAAAAGTGGAAAAGCGGAAAAGTGAAAAGTACAAAAGTGTAAGTGTCAAAGTGCCGAAGTGCCAAAATGTACTGTGTAAAAGTGGAAAAGTGCCAAAGTGCAAAAGTGATACTGAGTGGTAGAAATATAATAGAAATGATGTGATGAAGTGATAGAAATTGTTCGAATGTGTTAGGATGTGTTAGAAGGTGTTATGGGGCGGTGGAAGGTGTTAGGAGGTGTTGGAGCGTGTTAGGTGATGTTGAGAGGTGTGAGGAGATGTCAGAAGTTGTTAGCCAGTAAGCGCAAATTTGCGCCTGTTACATGACAACCGATACTAGCTAGTTTGTCGGTTCGGTTGCCATCTCGTAGGCGCAAAGGTGCTCCTGTTATGCGGGAACCTGGACTTGTCGGTTTGGTTGCCGTTTCGTAGGTGCAGAGGTGCCCCTGCTATGCGGCAACCTACTCTAGCCTGTGTTTGTTGGTTCGGTTGCGATCTCGTAGGCGCAGGTATTATGCTTCCAGTATGCATCAACCTATACTGGTTGTTTCGTCTGTTCGGTTGTCGGAATCACCTTAAATGAAAAGCAATGCATTGATCTCAATTAGTGGAATATGAGAATGAAATGTTTAGGGTATACTAGGTATGTGAATGAATATAAAACACACATATTTGTGCAATAACTTTCGCTTACTTTGGAGTACTTCGGAATCTTTTTAGTAATTAACTTTTGCAATCCTTCAGCGCTGATGAATAACGTATACTGGTCTCGATGTTTTTCATAAGTTTTTATTAAAGAAACAGATATATTTTATACGACACGTGAAATTGTACATCCGCAACGCGTGATGACTTCAAACGAAAATCCAAATGTGAATCAATTACACATTTGTTTAGTTTAACATCATTAAAGTTTATAATCGATACAACAACAAAATTATGAAATACTATGACGCAATGTACGATCAATATAAACCTGAGATGAGTATAATTTGCGAAGCAAACGAAAGAACATTATTTCACTTATGATATAGTCGTGTTCTTGCGAATATTTGTTTATTTATCATGTCAACAAGGCCCGAGCTGCTACCTATGGCTGTGGTCGCAACTCAGATGCGATGTATAAAATATAACATACAATTATACAGGATGGTTCGCTTTAAAAGGAACACCACAATATTTTTTTTTTCTTTTTTTGAGTAGTGAGAGTCTGAAAGATGTCGAGGACGTGATTAAAATGATTTAAAAGCGTAAACAAGATGTACAGTCATTTCCATTAGTACTTTATGTCTATCTGTTGAAGATATCTATTGAATACTTATGAGACTGACTGTATATAAAGTATAAATTACTATGTTTACGTTGTGGTAACTGCTTTTAAAAATTTGTTTGATTTCCTATGTATCTAAATATGTAGTTCCTGAAGTTCATAGCAGTAAAAAGAGTATAATATTCAATTATAAAATATTTATCTTATAACGTTTTTACACAATTTAATATTGAAATAAACGAAATATCAAAGAAATTTTAAAGAAAATATTTTTTTGAGTATTCAATGTTAGTCTGAGTTACTCAATATGTATTTCTGAGTTCGAAATCGTAGATTAAAATTGCTTAGATCATATCCACGACGTTCTTTCGAAACTCTCACAATTACAGGAGACATTTACATGTTTTATTTTTTAGTAGTTCACCCTGTATGTATAGATGTATGCACACACATCCGCATATCATTATACATACACACGTACCGTTGTACCTAACAACAACAGCTATAAACTATATCGTACATATATGTATATCTGCACATAGAATATTTCCTAACAAGTTCACAATAATAGTTTTTTTTTTCAAATACTTAACATCTACTCAACCATTTGCATCGTCGATTCTCGGAGTCGAGGTGACAGACAATTCTTGTAGAATTCTTTTTGCAATTTGATATTTTTTTTTAAAGAAAGTACGAAAAATGATTAGTTATAGTAAACGATTCAGAAAGTGGGTCTGTGTAAAAATTATTTTCAAATTTTGCGAAATTATAATACAAATAATTGTTATAATTATTTAGAAGAAAATAAACCAGTCAAAATAGAAAGAAAAATATTAGTCAAAAATGATTCGAGAGATAAGGTTAATAAAATGGGGAATAATAATGAAATTAGAGGAACCAACTAATAAGAATTATCTTGAAAAGTTAAGTAGCAAGCTTTTATATAATAACTATATTTGTACTAAGCTTGTAAAATTCCATAAATAATAAACAGGTACTAAAAAGTACAATTAAATTGATCAATTAAGTGCCTACTATTTGCTAAATAATTACGTTCAATGTCCTAAGGAAAGAATAAAACATGTTAAAAAGAGAAGGTAAATAAATAATACAAATAACAAAAAAATTATCTCGATCCCTAGAAATTTGTCGGAAATTTTGATGAATAATTTTGTTGTGTAATACATAATTTACTGTAATCATATTAAACATAATTTCTGTTAAAAATAAATCATCCTATAAGTTTCATTTCTTCTGCGATTCTTACTTTTCCATCGTATTGTCTGTCCAAGGACTGTTCTATTCTAAATATTAAATCGACAAAGCGTAAATGCTTTTCGATGATAGGCTTCGTTATTTCGATAACATTTGAACGTTAATACAATTGTAATGTAACATTATTACACCTGAACGGTGGTTACAATTTGCGTATAGTCTACACAGCATGTACGTCTGATCGAAGCCAGACTATGTAAGAGTGGTCGAGCAATGAAACGGGAAACAATTGGACATGATAATACTGTCAACGATATGCAACCTTAGCGATAAGAAAATTATTGTTTAATCCTTCGCGGCGATTAAAAACAAACTGCTTTGTTTCGTATATTTTTCGTTCGCACGTTGATGACACAGTCTCCAAATTTGTACGTTTATTTCAGTTTATGCCCCAAAAACACATTTTACCAGGTCTATTTCTTTTTTTTTTCTTTTTTTTATTTAATGCAGTTTAATTCAATTTCTGTCAACATTCACGTAAAGATATCATTTTGACATCATTTGCTAATCGTATGTGTTTCAGATAATATCGTTTCAAAATAAAATATAGGTAACGAAAGGTTCGTTTTCGTTATGCTTCTAGGAAAAAGGCATACGAGTTTTGGAAAATGCTATCACTATTTTACAGAAGAGCTATACACGTAAAGTCTACTTTACGAACACTTCCCTACAAGTATCCTATTCTCAAAGGGTTAGTTACACGTTTCTACAAGAAATTCAAGTAAATTTGTTGAAATTCAAATCAAAGCTTTTGATAATTTCTTATTTTTGTTTTAAGTACAGAGAGAATTCTATGAACCGATATCCAGTTTGTAAATAATACTTTTGGAAGGGTACGAAAACTATTCTTTAATCATCCTTTCTTTTTTTATACAGTTAGCGTAATAAGTATTCGTACAGCAACCAATTTAAAATAAATGGTTCCTGTACGAATACTTATTACGCTAACTGTATTTATCTACGACATTTTTTATGGCGTTTTGTACGCTACAGTAAAGGTTTGAGATGATTTTTCTTTTATTTTCAGTTAGACGTATTTAATTGGGAGAAAAATAACTGTCTTTTTTTTTTTTTTTAAATTAATATCTCCTTTAGCATAGAATAGGATGGTTACCATAGACAGGCAAAATATTAGAAAAACGTTTAGAAGAAAAGGTGTAATATATACTGTGTTCGTTTAGAAAAATGTTATTAAATAATGCCTGTAATATTTACAGGTTGGACCTCTTGAACACTCTAGGCAAATTTCTAAAGAAAATCTCGTGATTTTAAAAATGAGAAAATTCGAAATAAGCATCGATTATTATTGACTTAAAAAAAGAAAGTAATCCTCTTATGCAATTTCAGCTGATGCAACGCTATTTTAATCGAAATCTTAGTCACCAGGATGATGAAGGAGCGTTGCTTCAACTACACCTAAAGATATCATGATTGAAAAAATGTTCTATTTCGATAATTTAATTCCTATTTGTCTCGTACGAGAGCGCACAGTAAAATTATGTATGTGATTTCATTTGAAGAACGCGATGATTTTGAGGTGCTTGTGAACAGAAATTGAAGATATTATTTGAAAACATTTGAGATATGGTTGTATTTGGTTTTAGGCTTTCTGGGCGCTTAAAATTTTGTTTAAAATGGAATTATGTAGTTCCATATCCTAACGTGTACTTTCATTAAAGAAACAAACTTATCGACTGAATTTTTTATTTAAAAATGTCAGCACATTATCGCTACTATGTCAATATTCGTCATAATATTATATTATTGCTAGTTACTAAATTCGTCTCTTTAGTTTTTGTAAGAATATAGAAAGACATAATTCTCTTTTGGGTGAGATATTCTGACATTTCGTCAGCATTAAGTGAAGAATATATTTAATCAATCTTTTTCAATAATAATAAGATAATCGATTAGACTTTAAAACGTAATTTGTAACTTTTCAAGTTCAGAATCTGACAAACAGATATTTAGTTGATGGTGCTGAATGTTTCAAACTTAAGAGGCAAAAATAAATGTAACGAACATGCTAATAAAATTTACGAATCTATCGTTTTTTAAATATTTTAAAAGGAAAATGGTACGATAAATACATATGCCACCTATAAATTATCGATAAACAGCGGATCTTTATGCAAAATAAAATCTTTGCAAGGTTCCTTCAAAAATTGGACCCAAACAGAAATTCATTTTACTTTACAAATATTATACTATGCACTTCACTCTCAATGTTTTCGTATATTATTGCATATTGCGTGCATTATGTAGTTTCTTGCACATTAAAATTTTCTCTAAATACATAAAAATCTGTAGTCCACTGATCGATACCGTTGCGGCATTCGAATCCCGAAGAATCTACCTGCGATACAACCAAAACATCATAGTATCCATCCCAAAAGGACACAGCTGCGCCCAGAAGCCTTTGTTAATATCAACCACGAAGAGCCAAGCTGTGAAAACTTGAAGTATCTGACTAGTAACTTGTTACAGAAACCTGAGTCTGTTCTGGTCCACGGAAAGAAGAAGCTACAATGGTTTGTCAGGCAATTTGTCGTTAATAAATCAATTGTGATGCGTCGAGAAGTGGTTTCTTCCTCACTGTTGAACGAGTTCACTGCGCAAGAGGCCTCGTCGTGAATCCTCGCCGTTCAGGGAGTAAAGAATCGTCGTAAAGGTGCGCATCGCAAAGTCTAAGTGAGTGCGTTCGAGGTCCTTGCGGCTCAAGGCAAAGAGATTCGGTGAAAATATAAGCCCCAACGATGGAACATTAGCAAAGGTAAACTTGGAACCGTGCACCGTGCAAAATCACAACCGCACTGTCCTAGACCGGCTCCGGAGGTGGATCCCCGTTAATACCTTCTCTGGATTGGATCATCACCTCCGTTTGTTCCTTGGTTAATTCCTGCTGTTCGTTAGACAGGTTTAAGTCCTGGTCCGCGATGAAGCTGCGACGGACCGCGCCGTTTGCCACCGAGGCTAAATCCGCGTTCTTCTGCTGCGTGTCCCTCCAGGGAGTGGTGAGGATTCTTAATCTCTACAATTTCAAACATTAATCGATTATTAATAATTTCAGGAATAATTTTGAACAACTCCGAGACTTCTTTATGATGCTTCAGGGCTGTTGAGTATTCGTTTAAAGGAGTCTTTCTTTAGGAATATTTATTTTACTGAATGCAGTGTTCAACGGGGTAAAACTTGTTCAGGATCCAAGGTAAAATTTAATTAGGAACTGTTAGATGTAGAAACGAATTCTGTGCCTTTACTTAAGCATAATTATTTACAACTCTAGTTTAAGTAGAAATATTTACTCGTTGTTTCGTTACTTTAGAGTTCCAACCTTCTAATTCTTCAACCTCATTTCCGTTACAGTGGATCTAAATATGTGGATCTAAGTCACAAAATTTACTAGTAAACAAATTTCGTCTATTGTCTTTCCTCTAACAGATTGCGAATTTACTTGAAAATTGTTAGGTGTAGAAATTAATTCTGTATATCATTTATGACTGTGGTTTAAACAGAAATATTTATTCACGATTTTGTTAAGTAAAGTACCAGTTTTATAACTATATATCCTTTGTTGGATGTGTAACTTAGGAAAAATGAAAAATTGCATGGTTTTTCCTTATAAATAAATGGCAAGGTTACCTTAGAAATGCACAAAATTATGCATAAAATGATTCTTGAATAGTATATGCATTGCTATAGTAGGGACAAAATTCACAAAATGGCGCGTGTTGAAATGTAAACGTCGAAATTCTATATGTTTTTAAAACAATTTTTTCGATGAAAAAAATTGTTAACGTAGTTGAAATATGAACGAATATATCCTCCGATTTTCGCTGGGGTAGATGTTACGATTTCTTTTTTCAAGTAAATCCGAAAATTAAGGTAAAAAATCGCGTTTTATGGTGGAATTCCGTCTTTAAGATTAAGATAATTACCTGGATGAAGCTGCCGGGCGTGACGATGATCTTGTAAATTGCGATGCCGGGTATCATGGCAATTGAGGAAGTCGCGATTAACCAACCCAGCACGTTTGCCCAGACTGGGTAGACGTAATCCTCGTAAGTCAGCGGTTCGTAGCCCATTAAACCGTAAACGATAATAAACTACAACAGCAGAAAAGATTATTTTCAAAAGTACCTTCGTTAATTTCCTTCATTTTCCTTATACAATGAAACAAGATGACTCGAATACTATCTCTAAGTTTTTTTTATTAATTTTGGAAATAATAGTGCAGTGAGATAAGGTTATTTTGGACATCACCTAACATCGGGCAGTTAAAATTAATGTATAATATAATTAAAATGAAAAAGAAAAGATTTGTGAGGAGAAAAGTGTGAAAAAATATAAAGAAATAGCTAGTTTTATGAAATATACGATAGAAATATACCAGAAGAGACAAGTGGATATATTCTTCTAACTTTATTTTATGTGAAAGACAGTATACCATGAGAAATATCGGGGCGACGAATTTCCAGCAGACGCGCCAATATATTCCAGGTGAAAACCCGATCATGTCTTTGATATCCGCGCAAAATCTGTCAGCTCCATAAATCCAGCTGATGGCGATGGCTTCCGCCAAAACTGCGAATAACATTGAGTAACCCGCCGCGTAACGATCCAACAGGTGGAAAAAGTAAAACCCGCCCTGTGGAAAATCCAAATACAATTTAATAATTAGATTCCTTAAGAGGGAAAAATCATAGCTTTATTCATTAATTTTTTTTAGAAAGCAATTGACTCGTTAGAAAATCTGTTTGCAGACGTCTGTAATACATATATCGAGTAACAAAGAAATAATTTATCATTTAGGTTTTTTTTAAATAAAGTGGCAATGTTGGGGTCATTACTCGACAAGTCATACTGTGTCTGCATTTTATAGTTTATTGCTGGTTCATTTATTTATTTACTTTACCTGGGAACACGACGCTAATCCAACGAGGAAGTACAATGTGAAAAGGAAAGCGACGAAAATTTCACGATTGTTCCCGATAATAGGAAACTCGTCGCTGAGGGCTGTTATTATGGCTTCAGAACCTCCAAACTATAAAAAAAAAAGATACATATCCTTTAATCAATGATACAATCTAGAGATATAGAGAGATATATACAATATAAAGTAAAGACTATTTATGATAGACTTTGTTGGTAAGAGGAATAACTTTCAAAGTGTACAATTACGGTAAATACCTTGAACGATAAATATAATAATACAATGAAATATAATATAAAATAATTCATCGCAATAAATATTGTTTAACACTAAAACTATCAGGCTCAAACATATCTATTCTACAAAGAAGTATATCTTTGTAATTAGAGAGGGAAGAAGCAGACTAATTTATGAATAAAATTAATTCTCTAGTATAATACAGTGGGTGTAGAATGTATTCGTACATCGATCAATTTCCTAAAAAACTTTTCTGTGAAATTGTAGTTTATTAACTTATGAAATTTTAAAAATTTAACACTTGTACGAATACTTATTGCTTATTGTATTCTGTATTTCTATCGATTTATTGTTTTTTCTTGTTGATTTCTCAATTATACAAAATACCTAATCTTTTCGTACTGTATCTATTCTAGACATTTCCAAGAATATATAGAATATCATTGTTTACAAAAAAAAGTTAATAAATCACAATTTCACATAGTTTTTTTTGGAAATTGATCGGTGTACGAATACTTTCTACACCCACTGTAATTGTCCTCAAATATTGCAGTGAAGATACTACTAATAATTGAGTAACGTTAAAAAGTAGTTTCAAGTACATGGGTCAAATTGACTGGCTTGATAGGTTTAGCGTTAAATTTAAAATGAAATTGATTATTACTAATTCAATCGGAAAATAAAATAATATAAAATAAAATCCTTCAAGAGACAACAGTTAATAAAACTGTATTAATATCTATACCGAGCTGTCTAATCCAAGAGTGAGCAGCATCATAAAGAAGATGAGTGCCCAAAACATGGACCCTGGCATTGTAGCTATAGCAGCAGGATATACGATAAAGACTAGACCAGGACCTTCGGTTGCTACATCCTGAATGGACTTTCCGCTTGCACGAGCCATATATCCTAGCACAGAGAAGATCACGAATCCAGCAATGAATGATGTTGCGCTGTTGATTAGACTGGTTAGTAACGCGTCCCTGGAAAGACAAGCAACAGGTAAAGCTTCAAAACATTTGGCGAAGGCTACTTGTTGATCTGTTCTACGTGTATAGGTGAGACATGTACAGGGAGATACTTTATTCGTCGAATACATTTTCTACTATTACTATAAAAGCTAAAAGAAAAGAAAAAATAAAACAATAATAAATTGAACATTTACTGAATTTAAAACACTTAAGTTCCAATTTAACACGTTCACTGCCAGACTGATACTCTTGAAAATTTCTACTGTGATTAACTTTTGTTTACGGACTATTGAGATTTCAAGAAGTTCAAGAAGTTCATTCAAGTTTATTTTCATTGATATTTAACTCTCACAATTAATTTGTTTAGTTTTTCCGTGAAAAACACCCATATATGGATGACGTGGTGTTCAATGCGTTAAACTATAAAAACTCTTATTTAATAATCTCTCAGAATCAACCTTTCCCCAAATAATCTATTCAATGGCCATTCTAAAGATTTGATTATTTGTTAATAACGATTCTTCTTCGTTTTTTTTTCCACTTCTGAGCGAGCACACCTTCTGGTTTCTGTTTGATTTGTGTATAAATGATTTGTCCCTGCAATGAAGTTCGCTAACACGCGTATATCTTACTTGTAAACGTTGTTGTGATATTTATTATAACTCGCATAAGCCAGCAGCACCCCAAAGCCCGGCCCGAGGGAGAAGAACACCTGTGTTGCAGCGTCTACCCACACCTAAAAAGAGATTCAGTGTTCTTATGCGAAAGTTCCGGAATGCTCTCGTAAAATGCATTTTATAATTAAACACAGAATTGCTTTATCATCAAACATAATACAAATACAGGGTGAGTCCGAAGAAACAGAACACCTAAATATCTCCGTTACATTTCGTTGTACAAAAGAATTTCTTAGGACAAAGTTACACTATTTGAAGAGCCACATGTAACGGTACAAGGGACAAAATTTTCAAGGTCTTTTTTTTTTTTCATAAAATTTCAAGGTCATCGACGTTTTTTTAAATGGAATGATATATTTTCATTAACGTAATGTTGTAGCTGACAAAATAACGAATTCATCCATGTACTACAATATGACCTACAAATGACCTTTAACCCAGAAAATTGGAATAAATAAAATTCAACGTGTAAGATTCATTTGCTTTATGATGGACGATTACGATTAGGAATCGGCCTAATTTACGATTAGGAGATCTTTCTCCATAAATGAAAATCATATCAATTTTATTTTCTTTCGGGTAACGCATCGTAAAACGTACATCGACAAACTGATAGACTGGAAATCTTACGAAACATTAGAATTAGAAATCAGAGAGCAAGAACTGATCAGCAGTTGTAAACAAGAATGTGTACAAACACATAGATAAAGGTATATCATAAATGTCTTCCTGTCAACGCCGAATTTGTTATTATGTTGTGTATTGCGATAAATTTGAATGTATAGCAGCTCAAGTTAATATTAATTTGAATATTCAAAATATTTTGAACATTTTGCGTAACAGGAATAAAGCAAATGAATCTTACACGTTGAATTTTATTTATTCCATTTTCCTGGGTTGAAGGTCATTTGTAGGTCATATTGTAGTACATGGATGAATTCGTTATTTTGTCAGCTACAACATTACGTTAACAAAAATATATCATTCCATTAAAAAAAACATCGATGACCTTGAAATTTTATAAAAAAAAAAGACCTTGAAAATTTTGTCCCTTGTACCGTTACATGTGGCTCTTCAAATAGTGTAACTTTGTCCTAAGAAGTTCTTTTGTACAACGAAATGTAACGGAGATATTTAGGTGTTCTGTTTCTTCGGACTCACACTGTATACATATGTATATATATATATAAATTTATTATATAAAATACGTAAATTAAATATATTCTACTCCATTTGTATACCATTTGTTGGAGTTTCTCTTCTTAAAAGAGAAAGTTTCCGTTACGAAAACCATTTCTGCGCGTTTGGGTTTCTTTCCTAGACACAAGTCAACAGGGTACAGCTGCGTCCCATCTTGGCTTGTTTAGACAAAGTTTGGGACCGATAGGGTCTATAGTTCAGTAACGAAATTCTTCGTTCCTGACCTCACTTTCATTCATTCGAGCTGTTTCTAGTGACCAGAACAGACGCACTCTACCGTGTGTGTTCGAATAAAGTTTTTAAAGTCAAGTTAAAACAGAAGTCTACTCATTCATTCCACCACCTATATTCCAATACCATTGAATAACAAGTCCATTGTTGAAAATCCTTTATATTCGCAGTGTTCATATACAATAGTACCACTCAATATTAAATATTCATAGACAAACTTTAATATATACGAATTAAAGGATGTCGCAGTCTTAAACAAACTAATATTCATTATACTTTTCTATTCTTTCCTTTAAAGTTTAACGTTTGCTAAAATAACATGTAAAACTAACCAAAACAAAATACAATTACACCTTGCAGTATAGTGTGGGTAAGAATTTGTTGTACAACCTGCAAGTGAGTGATGTTATATACAGAAATAAATAAAAAATAAAATCTAAAACCTTTGCGATCGAATACAACTCGAGTGAAAGGTGTCTGACAAATACTGGTTATTTCTACTAGCGCCAGCCAACTGGTTGAGAGGACTAACCGAGACTCATTAATAATATCTAATCATTTTCAAGCATTACATTGAGAACACAACTACAATCATGAATTATTAAAAGATCGAAGTGTTAACCCTTTGTGCTCTAGGCATTTTTCTATAAAATCAAATCCAGCCCATTTTTAGAACAAATTTCTGTAATATCAAGAACTCTACTTCAGTTAGATATAAATGGGAGAATTAATACTGAATTAAATTGTTTTGATAAATAAATCCTGGCATTCCTGGTGATCAGTCTATTACGAAAGTTATATATTAAATTTTGTAAAAACCTTCTTTAAAAGCGTCATGTCAACAAGGAAATGAATTACCATGAAAAGAAGGCGGCTGTAAAATGGTAAATTTTAAGAATCAATAAATTTTCTTGGTCGCTGTATAAAATCCACTTTAGCGAACCAGAAAACGCGTCCGAGCCGCTGAAGAGAAATGCATTCCGCTTATGACTGCCAAGAGGGTCGAACGTGCGGTTCCAGGACCGTGGACTGACCGAACTCTAATGGTCATTATGACAGGTACACAGAGTTTCCATTTTCAGCGTCGTCGGATAAACCTGGCACGTTTCACTCCCCTCCAAATAATTCTCGCGACGCTGCTCGACTTTCACAGACCCTCTTTATATCAGTGCATTAACTTCTTGGCCCTCGGTTTTTTATTCTTCCCCATGGCCACTGTAAGTGGCCACTTCATAACACTTCATAACTACGATCATCCGCTGGAAAACGTTTCATCGGACACACGGTGAATGCGAGAAAGTGCAAACGCATCTAATGGGGTGGTTCTTATTCGAATGATTTTTTAAATCTAAATTTGGATGTATTAGGTTGTCTCGAAAGTTTCTTTCGCGAATTGCACTCAATTATTTGATGTGGTCGTGTTTATATAAATAGACAATCTAATTTCATGGATATTCATGTTGTAACAGTAATGGAGCAAAATGAATCGTGGAAAATTCAGTAATGTAACATAAAACATAAAATATTGTGGATGTATTACTTATTAATCAAGCGAAAGAAACTTTTGGGACAACCAAATATATTTTTCTCTATATGTTTAGATAAAACACAGCAAATGGTTTTATGTCGTGCACTCCCTAAATACCTTGCGAATCCGTACAGAACAATTCCTGCAAAATTTCAGCTTTTTATTATTAGGTAGACTGGAAAGTAATGTCGTTACTTTTACATTAAATTCAAACAAATTTTCAATAAATTTCTATTTTTAATCAGTTATGCAATCGCCGTCGTTATCAACAGCCTTTTGTTATCTATTGTGCAAATTTTCAATGCCAGATCGATCAAAATCAACGAGTTGAGTGATAAACAAGTATTTAAAAACGACGTTACTTTTCAGTCCACCTAATATAACGTTTACCACGTGCCTTAAATATTCGAAAGTTTTAAATGAGGAAAATACATGCGATTTGTTGCAATCGGTTACTTTTTTTTTTTACAACTCTGGCAGAAATTGATGAAATAATTTGTAATTTTGTAGAGTTGTTACTTATAATGTATAGGAAGAAGCCCTGGATATTTCAAATTTTTATTTTGATTATTTCCTTGTATATTAGCCTTGTGAATATGAATCTGTTTTCTCCACTTCAAATAATATTCTAATATTACCTTGAATGTTTTAAATATGAACTTATTTATGATTTTATATAAATTATTATTTAAAGAAGAATTTTGATATATTTAAACTAATGTAAAAAGAATGGGAAGTTTCACTAACGGATATGTAAAAAAATAATAAAATCTAGTGATATTGAAAGGAACTTTGGTTACCTCCGCTTTCGTGATGGCTGAAAAGTTCGGGTTCAGGTAGTATCGAATGCCTTCTAGACTTCCTGGCAGCGTAACGCCTCGTATAAGTAAAATTAGTAGAACAGCATAAGGAAACAAAGCTGTGAACCAAACTACCTGTGACAAAAAGTTAATTTTCTCCTCGTTGGTACAATCATGAATTATTAAAAGATCGAAGTGTTAACCCTTTGTGCTCTAGGCATTTTTCTATAAAATCAAATCCAGCCCATTTTTAGAACAAATTTCTGTAATATCAAGAACTCCACTTCGAAAAGAAACATCTACGAACATTCACGACTCAATGTATTATTATTTCAATTATTAATTAGCTGTATTCTGATATAATTAAAATTGAAATTGTACGTTCATAAAATCACTTTTAAATTACATGTGTCGCCCTAGAGGCGCCACTCGAGCGCAAAGGATTAATAGATTAAGCTCACGACTGGAAATGAAGAATAAATAAAATAACATTCGGGTAACTTGAAATGAAAAAATGTTTTAAACAGTAAAGTTTGCGTGAAATATGTAGATCTCACCTTGCCAGAGGTAGAAATGCCCTTCCACAAAGAGAAGTAACAGATGATGTAGACCACCAGCAAGCACAACGCTATGTCCCACTTAATTGCCCCAAGATCGTGCAAGCCTTCACTCTCGTGAAGTTCCAAAATGGCCCGACTTTAAACAGAGTTATCGGTCATCATGCATAATTACTTCTTTCCCCTTTATTTTCACCATGACTTGTGTATTAATCTTTTGCCACATAAATGGATTAAAAGTGGCCTGACTAAACTAAATCACTTTCCAAATATGACAGACGTTCTTCTCAAAAGAAATTCTTCTTGTTGCATATTATTCTGAGGATTAAATCTTCCTTCTTTTCGTTAAATTTGAAGTAAAGAAATAAACAAATAATTCGATATTTGAATTACCTATTATTTCAACTGAATTGATATTACATGTACTTTAAAATAACTGTATCGAAAATAACGGTTCGAAATCAATTATTTCAAGTAGTTAATTCTTACTTTCATTTCAATTAAAATTCACCCAGATCTGAGAATAAATATATTTTTGAAGGATATCATCTTAAAGTATCAAAGGGTTGCAAACAAAATTGTCAGATATTCCTCTTAAAGTTTCTTATGACTCTACGAAATTTTATAAAAATCCAAGTTCCCTTTTGAAACAATGGGACATTGTAGAATTAAAACACCATCCAACAATAAGGCTGAAGAGTAGACTTACTGGAAATATTCCTGCGCGGCACTCGTGTACCACGTATTATTGTATCCTTGATTCGAGGTCCTGTCCAAGTAATCTTCAATGGAGGACGAGTTGCTCGAGTCCCTCTGATCGAACGATTCGACAGGAGATGTATCGTCGAACGTGTAAGAAACATTTGCATCGAATGCACGACAATGCGGTGTGTTCCACGGATTGTCGCAGGTGGTCCATGGTAAGAGGCTGGAGAACGAAGCGAAGAAATATCTCAACGCCCACGCAATGATCACGTTGTAGTAAAAGTCGACGTAGAATGCGATCAGAGCCACGGCGTATCCGATTCCTGGTTAAAAGAAAAAATAGAAGAGAATGAAGTCGAAACAAGTAAAATAATTAAAAAATGGTTGCGACATTTTCATTTTGGGTGTGTTGTTTTCTCAACACGAAAAATACATTCTACAACTTGTTTCGTTTTAATAGTAGACTGTTAAATAGTAGACCTATCTACGTCTATTTTTTATTCTGTGTAATTAACCCCTCGAGAGACGCATTTTAAATGGATTTTTGTTTGCTTTAAGGCAATAATTGGGGTCTACGAACACGCTCGTATATATAACTTTTCGCGTACAATTTTGTATTGGAAAAAATCATTTGTTATCACTAGACTGCGGATCTTTATGCAAAATAAAATCTTCGCGAACGCGCCTACAAAAGTTGAACCTGAATAGGAATTGATTTTATTCTACAAATATTATAACATGAACTTTACTTTCGATCTTTTTTATATTCTGGCATATTGTTTGCATTTCGTAGTTTCTTGCATATTCGAATTTCCTATAAATGCATAAAGTTCCGCAGTCTGGTCATCACCAAATAATCAAATATCCAATAAAAGACGATGTATGTTTCATAAAGATCCGTTCAACAGATTATTGTTAAAAAATTCGTAAAGAAATTCCTCATTCTCAGCATCCTGTACCAGGTTCAAGACTTTTCATTAAAGAACTAATTAAATTAATTTTGAAGGTGAGGTAGTAAAAATAATTTTAAGTAAGATTCATGAATTTACCAAGGTTAACGAATTAAATATTACGACAAGTGTTAAATTATCCAATCTCCAATAGCCTCCAGACGAAATTTTCACTCTGTAGAACTTGTCACGAGTTACGTATTAAACTGAAATTATAAATGATAATTAGGTAGACTGGAAAGTAATGTCGTTTCTTTTACATTAAATTCAAAGAAATTTTTAATAAATTTCAATTTTTAATCAATTATGTAATCGCCTTCGTTATCAACAGCCTTTTGCCATTTAGTGTGCAAATTTTCAACGCCATATCGATAAACATCAATGAGCTGATGAGTGATAAACAAGTATTTAAAATTGCACAAACGACAAAGCCACGGAATTAGTTTCTACATCTAATAATTTCAGATAACGACATATCTGATTCTACAAATGGGGTAGTCATCTAGAAAGGATTAAAAATCTCCGGGGACGTGTTTTATATCCCAATTCCCGCAGCCAGAGAATATTCCATTATCCCGCGGGGAAGGTCGGCTTCAACGACGAATCAATTACGTCGTTCATCGATGCGGATCAAAAAGAAAAAGCACGTAGGAGACAAGAGACTTCTGCGTTTACATCGATCATCGCGGCTGCCCTAGTTGAAATCGCTGCGATGAAGCAGGAAATCGACGGAAATGGAGGCTCTCCTCGAGTGCTCGTCCACCCTCGGATTTTCCCCGGATTTATACGCGTTACATAAAACACCGTACAGAGCACCAAAGTGTGGAATAAAAGAAAATACACTCAGTGTGCCTAATGCGTCCTTCATTGCCAGAGACGATGGTAAAGTGCTTTAGGAGCGTTTTCAGAATTCTTCTGATAGCCGTTCAGAAAAATCTTTCGTGGTGCTGTTACTGCCATTGTCCAAGGTCATTTGCTACATTCGACCAAGTGGAAAAATTCGACGTTATTACTTGGAAATTCATTCTGTACTTTTTCTGACACCTTTCAACGCTTTCTGTGGCTAAGGTGACTGTTGCAAGCAATGATTTGTCCAAATTTTTTGTGTTTCGTTAAGGCAGTCACGAATTGAGAGGGTTTTTAGGGATCTAAAAGGGAATCTTGCTCCTTTAAGGAGGAGTCTGGTCCAGCTAATGTATTTTTCTAATCCATATAATTTCCAGATATAATTCATTTTTATTATTGAAATTTTTTTTACATATAAAGGGACGTTCAAAGAAGAAAATTTGACAGTGTAGATTTAATTTGAATGTATACATATATAGATATACAAGTAGTTGCAAGGAAAGGATTCGGTCAAAACGGTAGGACGCATAGCTCGTCGAATTTTTATCCGATTCACTTGATTCAACGCTTAAATCGAAGGTAGTTAAGTTTATATGCTAATGAACCTCGACTCTTAATGAATTATTATTATAGCATAAAGTTATTGCAAAATAACGGCCGACATGTATCGTTCAGTTTCATGTTTTTTGCCACCATTTTTGCAATTAACAATTTTTCTTTGCAAATGGAGGTTCATACGCATTTTACGTACCTACTAAAGAAAAAAATTTTCTGATTTTACCTATCAGATGAATCCTTTCCTTGGAACTACTATATCTACATATATATATATATATATATATATGCATACATTCAAATTAAGTCTACACTGTCAAATTTTCTTCTTTAAACGTCCCCTTATACGTAAAAAAAGTTTCAATAACAGAAATTAATTATATCTGGAAATTATATGCAATAAAAAAATACATTAGCTGGACCAGACTCCTCCCTTAAGGTCTTCAAATACGGTCTTCATTCTTTCAAATACTACAATGAGTTTCGATAGTTACTTTATTCTCGATTTGTTACGGTTTTTCAATGCACTAAATAATTTTCTATACAATTTTTTTAGAGGTTAAGGTTTCCATTAAAAATTCTGTAATACCAACAAACTTCCCTTCTCCTGCTTTTCTTATCGAAAGGACCTGTCACTTTGATCAAACTCTGACCCTTAAGAATTCTTAAGTAGGAATATACTCCATTGTATTTTTGTTTTGTTGAAAAAACAAGATCTTAAGGCCCCTTTTAGGACACCTGCACTCTCGTTACTTTAATATCTTCACAGGACTTTGCTGCAGCCATTCGAGGTAATATTAAAACGGTAAGAAGTTGTTTATACATTTCGAAAGAACGAGAAATTACTGAAACAGGAATTTTTGTCTCTCTGACAATGATTACGTGCTCTTGCTGTTGTTGGGATACGGGCTACCATGTCCAAGTCAAACGCGATTCCACGTAATATAAAACAAAAGTTATCAGATTTTACTTTGAACTGTCAAAGGAAATCCTCTTTTCTTGCAATTCGAACAAAAGAGTACAATTGAGTGCTCCTTTGAGCGAATAAAAAAGGTCTTGCATTTAATTGAGAGAATTCAGGTGTGATCAAATCTTTTTTAGATAATCTCTCTTTAAAATTAATTCATTCATAATTATTAAGAAATTAGGAAAGCTCAAAGCTTTAGGAATTTTTTTAAATCATCGAACTAAAAAGTGAATAAATTAGGAATACGTAAAATTACGAACTTCGGTTACTATAAAAATGAAGAATGCACGAACTAGGCCCTTGGAAACCATGAAATTGATTGTAATTTATGAAATAATAAAACTTTATCGTGTAATTGGAATTAATGCTGGTTAGGAGTTCAGGAAATGTGAATTGACGTCTACTTACCCTTTAGAAGTGGCACTATACGACCCCAGCAGGTGATCGCACCCTTTCTATTGAACTGGCCTAGGGCGAGCTCCATATAAAAGAGAGGAATTCCACCTACCACCAGCATTATGCAGTACGGGACCAGAAAGGCACCTGTCAACATAAATCAATCAAAATTTAGTCCTTCTCGCTTAATTAAAATAATATCATTTCACAATTTCTATGTAGAATGAATTGAAAAAATTGCCAAATACTCTCGATAGCGCTTGGACAATTTACTATATTATTAAAAAAATGCTTGATTTAAAAATTTGTCGATAACCAAGCTAGGAGTCGCCGCGTAACTTTGTTAATTTAAGATATTTTTAAATAGAAAAATTGCGAGACATGCACCAAGAAACATTCTTTCGAATACCCTAATACTTATAACCAGAACATTTTCCGTTTGTCCAGAAAAACTTCTTAAATATGCACCTCTTCCATAACGATTCAATCCAATTATCTTTATTTATAGTGTGATCCTAACGGACCGTTTACACTTTTCCTGTAACATTGTTTGAGTGATAGTCCTGTCGGACTGTTAACATTTTTCTTGGTCCGGTCTTGCTTGTGCAGATCCCAAGTCTTACACATACGTGTTTACAATTTACCAGCTCTACACATCAATTACATAGCTATATATAATATAAGAAAATTAGAAAAATAAAGAATCTTATCAAAATAACATAAAGGTGAATCATCTTCCATTCTACTCATATTTCTAAATTCACCGCTTTTGTAAATGATATATTGCTCTATATATCTTTGGTTTATCCAGAATTATCAACTTATATACATCCTCTCCTACGTCTTCTATTTCCTTTTTCAGCTTTTCTCTGAACTCTAGTCTATGAAAATTGTCCAAAGGACATTCAAAAACCACCTGGTTTATAGTCTCTTCTCCCATACCACAATCACAACTTCCATTTTCTAAAATATTTTTACGCGCTAACGATTCTTTTAAATTATTAGGTCGTCCCAAAAGTTTCTTTCGTAATTTCCACTAAATTATTTCGTGCGGTAGTGTTTATACAAATAGGCAATCTAATTTCTTAGATGTTGACGTTGTAACAGTAATTGGAGTCAAATGTACACAATTCAATAATGTAACATTAGACATAAAACATTGTGTATGCATTACTTATTAATAACACGAAAGAACAACCGAAAGACAACCTAATACAGGCTGAGTCCGAAGAAACAGAACACCTAAATATCTCCGTTACATTTCGTTGTACAAAAGAACTTCTTACGACAAAGTTACACTATTTGAAGAGCCACATGTAACGGTACAAGGGACAAAATTTTCAAGGTCTTTCTTTTTTTATAAAATTTCAAGGTCATCGATGTTTTTTAAATGGAATGATATATTTTCTTTAACGTAATGTTGTAGCTGACAGAATAACGAATTCATCCATGTACTACAATATGACCTACAAATGACCTTCAACCCAGAAAATTGGAATAAATAAAACTCAACGTGTAAGATTCATTTGCTTTATTCCTGTTACGCAAAATGTTCAAAATATTTTGAATATTCAAATTAATATTAACTTGAGCCGCTATACATTCAAATGTATCGCAATACACAACATAATAACAAATTCGGCGTTGACAGGTAGACATTTATGATATACCTTTATCTATGTGTTTGTACACATTCGTGTTTACAACTGCTAATCAGTCTGAAGACGTTCTTGCTCTCTGATTTCTAATTCTAATGTTTCGCAAGATTTCCAATCTAACACGTTGAATTTTATTTATTCCAATTTCCTGGGTTGAAGGTCATTTGTAGGTCATATTGTAGTACATGGATGAATTCGTTATTTTGTCAGCTACAACATTACGTTAACGAAAATATATCATTCCATTTAAAAAAACGTCGATGACCTTGAAATTTTATGAAAAAAAAAGACCTTGAAAATTTTGTCCCTTACACCGTTACATGTGGCTCTTCAAATAGTGTAACTTTGTCCTAAGAAGTTTTTTTGTACAACGTATTGTAACGGAGATATTTAGGTGTTTTGTTTCCTCGAACTCACCCTGTACAATGATTCGCTCTGATTCGTGAAATGGCTCTAATAACTTCTCTGCTTAAAATTCTCTTGTATTTATTAAACCAAGGTGCATATTTGCTTCTCTTTTTATTATCCCAAAATGTTTCAAACTCTTCCATAACGTCCTAGATAGGCTTCCCCCTTTAATGAACTTTCCCCCTTAAATGAAACACCCCGTATGAGATAACACCCAGAAAGGAAAAACAGCGATATAAAGGGACGAAAGGGTGGTGAAAATTCGATCTACGTCCTCGACAAAATCGTGTTCGTTCAATTTAATTGCGGTCATCCGGAGAAACGTTCAGATTCTTATCATCTTTGATGACATTGGTGTCGCGTCGAGGGTGTGGCGCTAAGAGGGAGGAAAAAAGAGTGATGTGCGAGCCACTCGCATCACCGTGTTAGCTGCATAACTGAATTGCAGAATATCCAGGGCACCAGCGACAGCGAGGTGCTTTTAGGTGGGTAATTCGATAGCGAACTTTCGAAAATGTGGCAAGGTGGAGCTAAAATGGCGATTCAGCAGATGAAGCTGATTCGCCGAACAATCGGTGGAATGTGATACCGAAAGACTAACAAGTGTGAATTTCCAAAAATCAAACAGGATAGACGGATAGATGGACGAGAAGTACAAGGAGCTCCCTCGAGGATTCGAGTTTTTTTTCTTTCGATCGTTTATTAATGGACTGGGAATATTTATGCAAATTCATATTTTGATATACACAGAAAAACAGAAAGGTAAACTAAAATATGTCTTATCTTCTAAATGTTGTAATGTGTATATTATTTAAAAAATTTTATATATTTACGCATTTGTACATAGTCTGCCAAATTTGTGTATATTTACACTCCTGATAAATGCATAAATATCCACAGTCTAATTTATTCGGTATAATCAATGTCATGATAATGTTTACGCATTCTTAACAAACAATATAGAGTTTCTTCGTTACACGAGCTATAACAAATTATGATTGTAAAAAATTTGCTTCGTTTTTCACAGATAAATGAATAAAAAAAAACATTAAGGGGCACTTTGATCGAATTTGTTCGTCATCGAAAGGGCAAAAGTAATCTGGGCAACAGGGTAGCATGAGAAGAAGGGAATATTCTTTCTTAATGCGATTACGTCTCCGTGGTTACGAGAGAGAATTTATCGGAAAGAAAAAGGATGGAACCGTGGGAAGGAATGTGCAGTGTATTTGAGAGGATTCTCGTTTCAATTGGAGAAGACAGCATATCCGTGGTAGGTTCCTTGATCTGTTCATTTCAGATGAACTGTAGGATATTTTTTAAGAATCTAGAAATTGTGAAAGAATTGGAAAATTTGAGTAACGTAAAAATCCTAATATTCTCGATACACCTATTTCGCTGTTGCTACGAAATATGCTAACGAACCTTGCTTTAATTAAAGTTTTAGTAATTTCACTTGTAGATCACTAATATTTTAATAATAGCGAGCCATGATTTTTTAAATAATTTATCAAGATATTCCTATTCTCTGTGCTTGCCTTGCGATTCACACACGCGTCCAACGTATAAAGAGATTTCCTGTCTATGTCACAGGCAAATGTCCGGTTTTAAATAACATTTCCGCTCAATTTTCATCCTTTGAGCGCGGGATAACGCTCTGACCGTTAACGCTTTGTGTTTGACACGTGGAAGTGTCCATGGGATACGACAATTCCTTAACCTGCCTATTTCTTCGATTTTACAGAATTACTATTAACACGATTCTTAAAATGCTTTATTTTTTATGGATTTTTAAATGGTCTACTGCTTGTTAAATTAAATTTCTATTTAGTTAGTGAAACGATATACTATTCTAGAGTTTACAGTCTTTGAGATAGTCTGTGGTGAGTACGAAGTAGAATTAAATGTTAACCACTCATTCTATTAAATGAAAATTCTCTTATCCAAATATAGTAGGATGCTTGGCAATATTTCAGATAAATAATAAGAGTCCAGCAAGATTTCACTAAATATTAAGTGAACCGGAAAGTAATGTCGTTTTTGCAATCTTAAATACTTGTTTATCATTCATCAGGTCATTGATTTTTATCGATCTGGCATTGACAATTTGCACACTAGATGGCAAAAGGCTATTGATAACGGAAGCGATTATATAACTAATAATTAAAAATAGAAATTCATAGAAAATTTGTTTGAATTTAACGTAAAAGAAACGACATTACTTTCCAGTCCACCTAATAGTTCATCGAGAAAAATTTAATTCCAATAATTGGAGCTCTGACGAACGAAATTGTATTTTTGTTCTTTATCCGGAGAGAACAACAGGATAAAACAAGGGTATTACCCCCTCGACAAGAAAATTAATCTTTGTCCACGAGAAGAAGCAGGCTATGAATGATTTGTTTAGATATAGAGAAATTTAAATATCTCAAAGACTTTAGAGAGAGCTCTAAGCAATACAAACGAATTCTATAAACCACAATCTATTAGTCCAAATGTAATAAAAAAAAAAAACCAAATTGTTTCCCCTTCCCTTATTTCTATGAAACCTGGTCAGTTTCTGTAACGACGTCAACTAAATCTGTGTAGGACGCGGCAACGCGTCGCGAAATATTCACGGATCTCGGCAAAGAAGAAGCGCGAAACATCAGACGAAATCACGCGACATAATGGGGATCGCGTACGGTGGCATGCAGCAGGTAGAGGCGTCGCGAGCGTCCATGATCAAAGGCCGGCCCGAATGGGAAATTATAATTAATTAAGGTAATTGGAAATTAGCGACCGATCTTGCCGGTACTAATGGCGCGCCCTACTCTCCTCTCAATTGAGTTAGCAGCCGCTTTTGAGGAGGCCCCGTATCGCTGATAGTCGGCCCTAATCGTATTCCTACGGGTAGACTCGATAGAACGGTTAATAGCATAGTCGTCGACGAGGGTAGTCTTCCAAGTCGTTGCGTGCTACTTGATGGAGTCGTTATTAGAAGGTTTATACAAGAGAGCGAAGTTACACGACGCGACCGGGAAGGATGCTTTGAATTCGGGCTCGAGGAAAATGAAAAGCACATTGCGAGTATTGTTTGCCAGACACGCTGGACTTCGCTGTTTTCCAAACTGTCCGATTGGAGTTGCTTCCACTATTTATATATTTATACGACTACCGATCGTGGAAGTTGCCAGACAAGCTATGATACTGTAACAGACTGCAGATTTTTATGCATTTATAGGAAATTTGTGGGTGCAAAAACTACAAATGCGCAAAGTATGCAATAATACAAAATAATATTGAAAGTATAATTCGTATTATGTGAAAATTGCAATTCAGAATTATCCATTAAACATATTTTGCTGGAATGTCCAATTGGTGAAAACATCAGAACCTAAGTAAAACTTCCTGTAGATATTAAACAATGTTTAAATGAAAGAAAACATGTAAAAGGAATAATAACTTATCTTGGGAAGATCAAAATAATTAAAGATATTTAGTATGTAATTAGTCTTAGGTAGCTTAAAATTGTTAGATCGAAGAAAACCAAGTGATGTATGTGAAATACAATGTAATAAGACACAAAATATAACAATGCATTGCAATGTGGTCGCTAATGGCTAAAAACCTGATGTGACATTAAATAAATAAATTAAAAAAAAAAAACATTCGTATTATAATATTTGCAGAGTAAAATACATTTTTGTTTGGGTTTGATTTGTGTATCTGTTATTCTTTTAAATGGAAATGGATATTCTTTTGCATAGACTGAATACTTTCGTCATTCTACATAAAAAAAAGTATTGGAGTAAAATGGAGAAAACATAATTCATTTACGAGATATTTTAAATATTCTACACATTTATTTAACGTATTTTATTCAACATTTTGTAACTGTTTCCATTACACGATTAAGGTGATTTTTTACCACTTTACCCTAATACTTCTTCTATGCGAAAAAGATATTCCATTAAAAAAAATAATGTAGATATCGATTGCAGTTACACCATGGCATTCATAAATATTGGTAAATCTGAGATAATGTGCACAAATGCAAAACTACATATAAAATTTTACAGCAATCAGAAAATAAAACATACTTTCGTTTAAATCTTCATCCCTAATACGAATCACACGACAAACAAATATTGTTTTTCCCCAACATATCAACATGTATCATGGAAAATTCATTACGAATAAAGTTACCAAATAAATTGGAAAGCAAATGATACAGTTTAGTGAAATTGCTAACGATAATTTAGCGAGAATTAAATCTTCCAGAACGGGTAGCAATCTTCCGAGACGGTTCCGCGACTCTTAAATTACTCCTTCGCTTTAATTTGGTTCAATTTCGAGTCCTGCGAACGCTTTCGCACATAAGTACCCCCGAGAGCGAAATCTAAATCTCGGGGTCATTTTCCACGAGGTAAATGCCAATTAGCCGACCGGTTAACGCCGTATTACTCGGCTGCAGAAGTGCATTATTCGATACATCTCGCCGTTGCAGCAGCGAAATAACGCTTAACAACGTTACGAGACATCAGCGTGCCAAAATATCAGGATATTGATATAAAAAAAGAAACGAGAATCGAGGCGCGACAGGTTACGCGATAAGTTACGAATACGTTTAAGGAGGAATGATTTGCTGTGCAAATTACTCGGGAGATTTTTATCAGGGTTTGTGAGATTACGTAATCGTTGCAATTTATTATGGCGTTATATGAAAGAATTGCCAAGTATGATTGAGAGAAAATTGAAAGAGTTAAGGGGGGTGTCTGGTCCAGCTAATGTATTTTTCTAATGCATATAATTTCCAGGTATAATTAATTTTTGTTATTGAAACTTTTTTTACATATAAAGGGACGTTCAAAGAAGCAAATTTGACAGTGTAGATTTAATTTGAATGTATACATATAGATTGTATAGAATTGAATGTATAGATATAGTAGTCGCAACGAAAGGATTCGGTGAAAACGGTGGGACACATAGCTCATCGAATTTTTATGCGATTCACTTGATTCAACGCTTAAATTGAAGGTAATTAAGTTTATATGCTAATGAACCTCGACTCTTAATGAATTATTATTATAGCATAAAGTTATTGCAAAATAACGGCCGACATGTACCGTTCATTTTCATGTCTTTTGCCGCCATTTTTGCAGTTAACAATTTTTTTTTTGCAAATGCAGGTTTATACGTATTTTACATACCTACTAAGAAAAAAATGTTTTCTGATTTTATCTATCAGATGTTTTCCCAAGGCTCCACGTATCCCACCGTTTTGACCGAATCCTTTCCTTGCGACTACTATGTATATCTATATATGTGTACATTCAAATTAAATCTACACTGTCAAATTTTCTTCTTTGAACCTCTCTTTATATGTTAAAAAAAGTTTCAATTACAAAAATTAATTATATCTGGAAATTATATGTATTAGAAAAATACATTAGTTGGACCAGACTCTCCTCTTAAGAAGAAGACGAGAATAAGATAGCTAAGGGCCGAAGATGTTCTGATAGTTAAATGGTTATTTAATTTTAAGGTGATCGTGGAGTGAATGTGTTTCTAAGAAGCTTCCGAAAGAAAAGCTTGTGCTGTCAACCAACAATTAAAAAACGAACTTCATGGAAGTGGACTTGAAAGTCACAATAGGTTTCAAAAAGTTTAAATTAATACAGTACCATGTGAAAACTGACGGGACTTATGAGTCTCCCAAATTTATTGCTTCTTGTTTGTTTTCCTTTTTTTTTAATATGTATAATCATATAACAGTATATGTATACGTGTAAATGTAAATGCATGATTATAATTCATACTTTTGACTATTTAATATATTTCTGATTAATGTATTTAATGTATCATTCATTTCCCATTTTAGCGTTTACTGTTATATAATTATATCTTTTTACGTTATTTCCAGTTATTATACATTAAATATGAATTATACATACAGTGGGTGTAGTAAGTATTCGTACACTAGTCAATTAAAAAAAAAACTATATTCAATTGTAATTTATTAACTTCTTTTTAATAAACAATGATATTCTATATATTCTTTCAAATCTTTACAATAGATGCAGTATAAAAGAAAGTAGTTATTTATATAAGTTGCAAAATTAGCAAGAAAAAACAATAAATCGATAGAAATATAGAAGCAATAAATATTCGAACAAATATTAAATTTTCCAAACTTCATTAAAAAAAAACTTGAAGTCTACATTAATTTATAAATAATTAATACTTCGTGGGATATCATTTTGATTTTATAATTGCTGCAACTCTTCTAGGCATTAGGTAAATTAACTAAATTTGATGTTATTCAGGATGGGATCTTCTTCCACTCTTGTATCAAAACATTTTTTAAGACTTCTATGCTGTAAATTTCTAATTCGTACGAAGCAATAAACTGATGCGTTTATAATACAAATTCTACTGTAAATGGCTCGTTATAAAAACCAAACGAATATTTATTGCTTCTATATTTCTGCCAATTTTTCGTATTTTCTTGTTAATTTCGCAAATTATATAAACTAATAATTATTGTTCGGACTACATCTATTCTAGAGATTTTCAAAAATATGTAGAATATCATCGATTATAAAAAAAAAATTAATAAACTACAATGTCACAAAAGTTTTTTAGGAAATTGATCGACGTACGAATACATTCTACACCCACTGTATAATTCACACGTCTAACTAACTATTCCTGATTAATATATCTAATCTATTAATTATGAATTGAATTCCCTGAAAATATTTCAAGGATTCGAAATGATTCAAATGATCTAACATCGTCCTCCTCTTTAAATTACTCCATGAAGTTTGAAATTGGACAAGCTAGCCCGATGGTTACCTAGTTCGTTTAATTCCGAGAATGTCAATTCGCAGATTTCAAGCTTAGCAAGTTTAGCCGTTGCGAAATCTAGTTACACCTTAACGAGTTTCTAACGTTCATAAATCAACCGCGATGCATATCGCCGGCGATTAGGAAACGATATAGGTACGTTTTCAACTGGATTTAACCGTTGAAAACGTATCATAGCGTTGGCGTTCTTGAATTCTTTCTTAATTATTCCACGTTCTTCCGATTAGAACGTTAAGCGATCTCCATCGAAAACCGCGAAACGACAAAAAAATTGATAGACGTAAAGGTTAAACTTGAAGACACGGATGAAAGGAGATCTATATGAATAAAAAAAGTTAGTTACGACGGGAAATTGAGTCATGTTTGTTCAGATAAATGAAACTCGTAGAAAATGATCCGATCCGCAAGGTAATCCATATTAAATAGCATAAGGAATGCAGTATGATTCATGGTACTGAAATTGTTTGCATGAGTGCAATTATTTTTAAGATTTAACATTCTTGCACAGTTTTGCAGATAATAATGAGTAGACTACGGATCTTTATGCAAAATAAAATCTTTGCAAACGTACCTACAACACTTCACCCCAAATGCGAATTTAAATCATAATATAAACATTACTTTGAATATTTTTTTATATTATTGCATGGTATCTGCATTTTGCAGTTTTTTGCACATTCGAATTTCGTATAAATGCATAAAAATCCACGGTCTATTCGTAATTACATTTGGGAAAGAATCAAGAGTGATATTAACCCTTTGCGCTCGGGTAACGCCTCTAGGGCGACATATGTAATTTAAAAGCGATTTGGTGAATGTACAATTTAAAATTCACTTACATCAGAGCACAACTAATTAGTAATTGAAATAATAATACATCGAGTCATGTACGTTCGTAGATGTTTTTCTTCAAAGTAGAGTTTTTGGTTTCACAGAAACTTATTATAGAAATGGACTAGATTTCATTCTATAGAAAAATGCCTGCAGCGCAAAGGATTAAAAATGATATTGAATATGACTTTCCCTATCGTGATAATATTTTGAAGAATAATAGGAAACTTTGGCTAGAAGCATTGAATTCACTTACCACCGCCGTTTTTGTAGCACAGATAAGGAAATCTCCACACATTGGCGAGGTCAACAGCGAATCCGATGACAGACAAGAGGAAGTCGACTTTGCCAGACCAGGTCTCCCTGCCATCGACGCCGATGTCCAGCTTCGGAGGATTCTTCACCACCCTCGACGACATGTCTCGCTTTCCTGCAACAAATCGATCAATTAATCTCAATATTCTCAATCACCAACATCATCGAAAACAGATTAACGATTTCAGATTAACGATTCTAGAGGTCCTTAGTGACAGGAGAGTTGTAAATTTATAATTAATACCTCTTTATAACTTTACAGTCATGGATTTATTACATCTACATTATAGATACCTGACTTTCAATATACAGTCTGTGTAATAAGTAGACTGCGGATCCTTATGCAAAATAAAATCTTGGCGAACGTGCGTACAAAAATTGCACCTAAATAGGAATTTATTTTATTCCGCAAATATTATAACATGAACATTACTTTCAATCTTTTTCATATTCTTGCATATCGTTTGCATTTTGTAGTTTCTTGCACATTCAAATTTCCTATAAATGCATACAGATCCGCAGTCTAGTAATAAGTATTCGTACAAGAACCAATTTAAAATAAAACTCCATACATTTATTTTGTATCCATAAATTTTAAGGGATGAAATAATTCGCCAACATTCCTACATATTTATAAAGTAGATTTTACGTAAATTGAAATTTATTACTTTTGACGTTAACCTCTTATTTCTTTTCTTATTCAGTTTATTTTAAATTGCTTGCTGAACGAATTCTTCTTACACTGACTGTGTATACATATCATCAGTATATATTGATTGTGTTTACACTAAATATTTGATAATTCCTAACAGCAGGATAGTTACAATTTCATAGAGCGAAATATTGTGTAGTTTAACACGAGCATGGCCGACTGTTTTTGCTCCCGAGCCGGAATGGAAAAAAAAAATATAAGTAAAAAAGTAATAAGTATGACAAGTTTTAATGGTTTATAACGGAATCTTTTTTTAAAAATATACAAGTACCGGGAATTCATTCGATTAATTACTAGAAGTTAAATGGAGGTATTGAAAAATTGTTCGCAGGCCGTATGAATTTATTACCCGGGTCGGATCCGGCCATGTATGTTGGCCCATGCCAGGTTTAACATATTGGTCGGCACGTCACCCAGAATTGGATGACAGGACTTTTCACGAAGGATGTAAACAAATTGATTCCAAAGGTGATGCAATAATAGAAATAAATCTAGAAAGATTTGGCGACGTTAAAAAATGAAATACCACGATAAATGTTAAATTATCTTGTCTTCGATAGTCTCGAGACTAGATTCGTACTTTGTAGCAATTTTCACAAGGTTTAACGTATTGGTCGGCACGTCACCCAGAATTGGATACGAATTTAGATAGCAATTTTCACAAGTTTTAGCCTGGCAGCCAACGTGTTGAATGAAGCGAAAAACGAATAAATGTGATACTATTGCGTTGGGTGTGTAGTTCAATTACTGGACTTCGCGATCCTTATAAATAAAATTCACCTATTATATTATTATTTTGCAAATCGAACGCGACGGACAGTGACGAAAAAGGGGGCAAAAGAGGGGGGGTATCGAGACGCGTGCGAGCGCGGGCGCGGTCGCGTGAGTAATTTGGCGACGACAAGTTATCGATAGCCCTTCAAGCGACAACGCTTAAGCTCCGAGCGAGGCTCATTGTGCCCCTATGACGGGTTGTGGACAAACAGCGTATATTTCAAAGGCGGCCGCGGTGCCGGTCTCGAGGGGACTCTGACTCTCGACGAGGGGTTTTCTGTCACACGCACTGATCCACGCTTGTCTATAGATCGACCCGATTAATTGATATTCGGCGGTTATTCCCAAACGT